CTTCAGCACCGTCGTCTGCAGTGTTTCCCGTCCACCAGGCATTTCCGTCCTCAGCCTCTGCGTTCATCTCGGCTTCCTCTACATTCGCTTCCGCTGCATCACCTTGCTGCCCTTCTTCTGGCATTTCATGCGTTTCACCCTCGGCATAGGTACCATCAGCACCATCTTCCATCGGCACTTCCTGCTGTCCTTCCTGTCCTTCCTCGTAGTTTTCTTCTTGGCCTTCTTCTGGTAGATAACCAGCTACTTCCGCCGTTTCCTCCGGCAAGTCTTCTCCAGGCTGAGCATCCGTCATTGCAAATGTCAAAACTTGATTTGTTTTGGTTGTGGGTGTGTCTATTGCATGCTGTCTGGCGGCCTACGCTTGCGTGCCAATGTCATGTGCGTGCCAATGTCCATGCAAGCCATTGAGTTGCCACACGTCATCACTTGGCCCAAAATGATCATGGTGTTCAGTGCATGCTGCAAATGTGAATCCAACCACATTGTGCGTAGCTTTCAACCGTCAAACTGTCTTTCTTGAACCCTCCAGCGCCTGGAAGCTCAGACACCTCTCGATCTCAAGGGAGTCACGTCAAGAAGAATGTCCCTAAAAATTTTCAGGTTGGAGCATGATCTAACAGTGTCTTGATTGCTCCATTGCAGATTGGCACCGGCAGCTTCTGGCGCATCTCTGCCAGGAAAGGTCGCACTTGCATAAGTGCTGATAAGCTTCCTGCACATCAAATGGGCCCTGCTGTGGAAAAAAAACACCAGGAACAAACACAGAGCGTTCTTCTTGTGCCTAGCAACTGCTAATCCTACAGGATGGTGTGCAAGTTCACAATTCACGGTATGCCTTCCAACCCTCGGCTGATGGCCTCGCAGGGAGAGATGGCCTTGAGCAAAAGCTTGCTGAGGGGAGATCTGGCCATGCGCAAGAGCCCAGCAATCCTCAGAGTTTTTGTTCCAACGACCTATACGCAATCACAGCAAACCGCAACTGCACTAGACGCAGACCATCAACTCTTGGCCATGCAGCTGCGGCAGAACGCACCACCACTGTGCAATCGCTGTCTTCCCCCTCTGGCTGGCCTTGATGAAGTAAAGGCGCGATTGTAGATGACATGTGTGGGCATCGATGCCGGTGCGACACTGCCAAACACAAGGCAAATCGAATCTCTTAGCTTGTGGCGAACAACCAAGGTGCCAGCACCGCTGTCTCTCAGCACGAAGCGCTCCCCGGCAACCTGCAAAATATAACAACTTAAGAAAATAGAGCCGACAGATTGGCCCAAAAAAACAAAACCTCCAGGGCCAAGCGTTGAGCTGCATCTGGAACAGGGCCCAAGCGTTGCACGATGCCATTCAGCTGACTCAGCCTTTTGATCAAGGCGAAGGACTGCAACAATCCCTTGGGGCTTAGGACATGCTTTTCTCTTCGCTTGCACTAGGCAACCACATGGAGATGAAAAAAACACTCCAACCTGCAAGCATGTCAGCCACCTGCCTTGAAAACATTGTGTGCATGCATTCGTTCAGACTGGTGCTTCGTGGCACACCCATTTTTGACTCCGACGAAAGGCTTGCAAATTCCGCGTCCGTCAAAATGGGCCCAGCTGAAAAGCATAGACCTAGCATGGTTCAAACACCACACTGGAGGCCGAGTTTTCCAGCCCCCTTCCGCGAGCCCCAGCTTGGCTCAGTGCCATTGAAGAATTTGCAAGCATAGCTTGCATGAAAAACGGGTACATTTATAAGGGTCAACAGAGATCTATGATGCGCCAGGAGTGCTAGCAGTATTGGGCCTGCACTGCTCAAAAGGAGGCAGGCGGGCACGTTCACACTCGACGTACCCCCACGCCCACACCACTTTGCGCTCCGGCAGGTCAAAAAGAACATTTAGGGCCTTCAGGTTCCAACCTTGCTCGGGGACCAAGGCCATGGCAACAACCTACACTATGCCAAGGGTGTACAGAAGCATGAAACCTGCCCTCCCAAAAAATGGCACGCACGTTCGCACTCAACGTGCCCTAACGCTTCCTCAGGAAGCGCCCACACGACTGCACATTGCAGAAGTTGCAGAGGGAACCGCCTTAAAAGGACGTTCTCTCATTCCAGGGGATCAATGACAAGAGCAAGGGAAAGTTGTCAACTTCAAAAATGGCCCAGTCGACAGAACAAAGAATTTAAGTAATCAACGAACCTGCAGCAGGGACATGACGCCACTAGTTGGTCCAGCATCAAACACGGAAGCTCCGAGTTTTTGCATCGGGCGTACTTTTGAGACGGTCTCACTGTCTAGCATGGAGAGCTTCGCTTAGCGCAACTCCACAGAACATGACATTGACAACTCAGATTGAAGGCAGCATAGCGCTTCAGCAGGCTGTTCATGGCGCAGGTTCGACTACGACCACGCTGTAGGAAAGGCACGTGAAGGGGGGGGGGCCGACCTGCGCGGTACGTTTCAGTGAGTCGCGGTCCTACGCCTTGTAGTGTGGTTTCAAGGCATTTGACGTGCTCCATGTTCTCTGGGCTCATGGTTTGGCGCATGGCTGTGCCCCAGAAAAAGGGAATTGTGCTGCACAGACTGCGCATTTTCGGTCCCTAGTGTGCAGTTGGAATGTGGGTCACAGGCAAACCACTCCTGAGGCTGGAGTGCGAACGCCCTCAAGCAGATTGGTGGTGAGCACGCTGGCGCCTATGGATGATTTGCTGGCGTTGTCGCGCATCCTCTTCTGTTGCTTCAGCTGATTGAGGCGTGGGGTGAATATTTCAGCTTTCCACTCCGAATAGCCGCCAGTCTTGGTTTACCCGGGAACGCTGAACGCTTCATCAGATTGACGGTGCTGCAATGGCTTGGAACTCCACCGGGCCGCGTATGAACAGGTCTTGATGCGGCCACGCCTGTCTCTCTCTCTCCCCTCATTGTGCCCCGAGGCGCTTGTGGAGGCAGTCAAAGCCACAACCGAGGAGTTGTGGTGGGATAGGGCCACATCCAGGACATCGACCTTCGCCAGGGTACGCGCGGTCAAGGAGTGTGGCGCAGAAGAGGGCATTGCATCAGACTTCGCTGCAGCTCAGGTCTGACTGGAGGCCCAGCAGCGCAATGCTACGCAGACTTTGTTGGCCGGCGGACGCGCATTAGGAGCTGAAGTGGGCAGTTTGGCGCCCCAGATGGCAGGACCCACGATGAAGATGTATGGCAAGTGCTGATCGCGAGTCATTTTGGTTTCAGGCTGGCGCTTCGGGCCAGCACAGTGATATTCGAGCGAGATTGAGTGAACGCTTCCTCCTGAACTATAACAGACTGAACATGGAGGCGATCGTCGCCGAGGGATGTAGATGGAGTGATCGTTGGCACAGGAGCGCGTTTGGTGTCGGCTAGCCCGATGTTGTCAAGGTTTGGCCCGCTTGCGACGGATCTGACAAAGGATGTTGCTCGAAAAAGGCAGCTGTGGTTCCTCAGTTTGGTCGGGTCACCCGTCTCAAGCTTTGAAACCTTGTGTGCTCTGGCTCTCAATAGTGCTGAACACGTCCCTACGCGCTGTGTCCATGGCCTTGTCATTCCTCTTGAAAGGCTGACAGGAGCATGACTTTCCGGGCTACCCTCACGCAGTGGCGGGTCCCCGCTCATGGGCGGACCTCGGCCAAAGGCTCCTGGCCACGCTGGGGGCCTTCCGAACATCCAGATTTCTCAGCAGGTCTTGTGGTTCTTTTTGGGCCGGCCACACCTCATCTTGCTTTGGCTCCATCCGTAGCTTTCGACTGGCACTGCACTTTTCCCAGGGTCGCTGGTCACCTGGTGACATGACAGCTGGAGAGGGCTGAGCTTCCCACTTTCATCTACAATTTGTTGATTTGCTGTCTTCAGACCAGGGCTGAGTGCCTGAGGATCCTTGACTCGCAAGTCTTCTTCCAAATTCCAGCTCATTCACTGCAGTGGGGCCGACCTTTATCTCAATGAGCCAGGATGTTTAACCCTTCCATCTGACCCAACTCTGGGGCTAGAGGAGTGCCAACTTTGTCTCTACCAAAGGCCTGGTCAACCATGCTCTCTCCCAACCGGGCGGTTTGCGCACGAAGGTACACCCCAGATAGTCGAACACTCGGGCAGCCGCTGGGATCACCATCGCGGAGGTGAAAACATATTGGGGGCTGCCCACTGGATGGCGAAAAGGTCTGCCGGAGCGCTCATTGCCCTGGCTCCCCTCATGATATCATCGAAAGAATTGTTCTTTTGTCCGACAAACTCTTAAGCGTCCCGCTGGACATGCCACGGCCGCTCCCGTAGCCCTCAAGGACTTGGGGCACCATTTTTTCATGTCTTTTGTAGATTAGCCACCCCCACCGAACTGCCGGCAAAGCCCTGCAGCCAGGGGGAGCGCTTCGTTCCCACTGAGCCGAAACTCCGCGCGTCATCACTCTTGCATACATAGAGAACATATATATATATATAATTGTATGCATATAATATGTATACATATACACACAATCATATGTATCTATACATGCATACATATGAGGATAATCAAGCTCGACATCGGCAATTGCATTCCCAGTCACAAGGTGCCGTTGACAGAAGATTGGTCACCCATGTCGAGTCTACAAATCAATGACCGAAGAAACAGGAGGGAAATATCTCCATTCTGATGAAGGATCGAACTGCTAGGCTGCCAATCAAAATGTGGTTCATCTGCATCTCTGAATGGTTCTGAATTCTTTTTTGAAAGAATGATGAGACTTTGGCAATACATGACCTAGCCTATCAGTAGTTTCGCTACTCCAAGGGTTCCAAGCCCCAAGGCCTGTGATTGACCTAGTCAGTCACTGCATTGACCGTTTGAAGCACGCAAAACTGTCGTGAGATCCAATAAGAATCTTGAGTGCCCTGAGGCTACCTTGAGCGTCAACTGGCTTGTCTCACATCAGGGTGGGTTGCACACTGAATCACAAAGGCAGCTATATAAACAGTCTTGGTGGAGACTTTCCAAACAGCCTGCAAAGACCTGCAAAGAGCATTGCTTTTCACAACTGCCATGGACGATTCGACCCAACAGCAGAGCCACTCCCAAGTCGGCTTGGCACTGACTGTTGAAAACTTGTCATCCATAAACACTTGCGGTCTACAGGCTAGCATGGCATGGTTGCTTTGGCAAGCCTGCAATGCTGCAAAGAAAAATCTGCATCAACTCCTTTGCCTTGTCAGCACAGGGGGAAAGAGCTAATCCCGCCCTTGTCGCTCCCTGAATTGTCCGCTCTCGTCCGCATTGGCAGTAATCACATGTTCCCGCTCGACCTGAGGAATCGGCTTACAAGTCCATGTGCCAGAACAAAATGCAGGTTGAATTGGGTCCTTTATGGGGCTCTAAGGAATGAAAGCTCACACAACACTTCCTCATTTCAAAACCACAAGACCGAAGCTCCTGGAGATGGCAAGTACTCTTTTTTCGCTATTCTTGCGTCTCTGCGTTGGTTTGTACTAGATCATGTGCTAGTGCCTTGTGAAGGATACTGTGTCCCCAGTCAGGTTGAACATAGTGTAGTAGTGCGCCCACAAAGGCAGTCCAATGACTAGCAAAGGGTCCCAAAAGGCTTGCGGCGGGTCCAGGACACCAACAAGTCCCTCGGACATGAGTTTCGTCAAGTTGAAGTCGAGAATGACGGAAGCTTTGGACACACGTGCACCTTCCAAATGGAATTCCAGCTTTGCTTGCTGGGAAAGTTCGATTTGCAGCAAGCTGCGCAGCTCAGAAGGCAGCAAGTGTGTTGGAGTGCCTGTGTCAATAATGCACGCCCGAGCGTGCTTCGTACAGTCAATTCCAGCAAATTCCGCATCGTTGATCACGATCTTCTCAACATTTACATTGTACCACCCAGATGTTCCAGTCCCTGAATCCAGCAAAAGTGCTGTCGGGGCATAAGGACTGTAGTAGGGCGCCTCAGTAGCTGCATCTCCCAAACGTAGACTGCCAGTGAGGCCGCCAGACCAGTAGATACCAAAAGTCTCAGATCCCCCTCGATTCATGCGCAACTCCTGCATCAGGGGTGGCAACAATGTTGACGTTGTAGACGGGCAGAGGATCTCTATGTCATTGGCCATCATCGAGCAAGAGCTTGAAAGGTCTACAGAAGAGGGATACGCCTTGTTCCTTTTGCGGTATGCAACTCCGAATATGCCTTCGCTAGGCATGTTTGTGCAAAGCCAAGGTGCACAGGAACCTTCAGCAAAAACCGCATAGCTGGCATCAGAAATATGTACAGCACTGCCAGCTGTGCTACCTTCAATTGTCAACTCTCCATTGAAGAAGGGGCCCACATATCCATCACTGAAGTGGCTATTGGAAGAAGAGGGACCATACTGCTCACAAGCCTTGAACTGGGTTGGCTGGGACAGCGGCAGGACCTCTGGCAAGCTTGTGTTGCAAAAGGCCACAGTGGAGGATCCAGTGTCTAGAAGCAACCGCCGAGCGGGAAGTGTACCAAGTCTTACTTGAAGCAAAAGCCGGTGAGATTCATACTCAAGCATCAGGGCGTGCCCTTTGAGTGCAGACGTCTTGGCTTGCAATAATAAAAGCCCTGTGTCTTCCTCACATGCCATGCAAGCTTCACTTGCTGTTCCAAAGTGTGCTGCTGCCAGCCAAGCCAAATGAATCAGACCCATGCCGCTAATTCGGGACAGTACCTATCTGACTTCGATCGTGAACGCCTGCACGAAGTGTGTCTCCATACTATCTTTGCAGGTCACAAGTGGTGTCAGGCAATGGCTTCCTAAAGCAAGTCTTGATATACAGTAGAACTGTTGCCTCATGATTTTGTTTGCATCCAAGGGACGAAGCGCAACCCTGGATAAGCTGTAGTACTGCGCTCCTCTTGTGAAAGCGTCACCTTGGCACTGCGGCCATATTCATGAGCTTTTGAGTCGTGAGACCTTCAAGTCAGGATGTCTTTGCCGAAAAGCATCAGTGTCCAAGTATACTTGATTGGGGTCGATGAGAAACTGCTTCCTGGCACCGTGCATTTGGTCAATTTCCATTGTGATACATTGGTTGGTTTCTTTTTCTTTGGACTTGAATCTTGCACGCTACGGGAACAACAACGGTTTCATCTGGCTGATGATCGCCTAATGATGCGTTTCGCCACCAAGAAAGTATTCTCCTCGGCTGCTCACATGAAGTGCTGGCTGCGTGTCACTACTGCCCTGAGCTTCCTGATCTGCGAAACCTTTCAGAACGTCCAGAATGTGCAAGAACGACCCCTTGCACCCCCGCTTTGGCCGGGCATCGTCCGGCCGCAGCTTGGCACAAGGTACCAGCACTTTGTCGTTGATGTACTTTCCAGGGCCCTCCTGGCAGGTCGAGAGGATAACTAGCAGCAATAAGTAACTAGTACTCCCCCCAGACCGGTTGCACAGCAGACCATGCTACTTTCTGCCATAAAGAAATTGACATGCAGCCTGCTCAGCTCTGTCTCAAATCGGAATCTACTCTGATCCTGCTTGACTTGAAAAAGGATCTCTCCATCGCTCTTCTGCATGCACAAATTCACCACCCTTGGTTAAACCGATTTCCCATCATCAGCCAGCTCAAGCAACTCCTTACGCCTTTCATGAACCTGGCGTAGGAAGAACAACCCCAAACCAAAAGTCAGATTTGCTGTTCCCAGCACTGGTTAAGTGTCCAAAAAATTGACATCAAGAGCAAGGCCACTTGTAGTGAGCACATAGACCGGCGAAGTTGAGCAAACAAACTATCTGCATACCGGGTGTCTCTGAGACCACGTAGCCAGCACCATTCCTTGGAACAGCATGGCAGCGCTACTGTAACAAAAATCGGGCAGCACGGCTTCATGCTGCCAAAGCTGCTTGTCCTTAACAATGCGCACATCACCCTTTATCAGCTCTTCCGAAAATTCCTTCAGTGTCTTTGCACCATTTTGGCCATACTGGCTAACCTCAACTTTCTCCAGTGCTCGGACTTTCTTGTCTGGCTGGAATGTTTCACCATCATTTGCACGGCTCCTGGGCTTCCCAGCGTCTATCTTCAAATCAATCAGGTAGTGTTTGAGCTCATCCTCTTTCAGCCCAATGGGCGCCTCCCACGCTAAAGATCGGACTTTCAGCTCGATTGCGCCTGCTACCCACGCACACAGATCTGCCGAGACCAGGCACCTGAGGTTGTTCCTGGTCATCATTGTGAGCGCCACAGGTGCACGAATCGATGGAGCCCCACGGTGCAACGAGTGATAGAATGGAAAGAGCACTGGGCGGAAGGATATATAGGAGGAATGGGAAAACTAAATGGAGAACTGCCCCTCATGAATGCGCGGGCCAGCGACAACGCCAAGCCTCTGAAAAAGTTTTGCCGTCATATACAGATATAGAGGAAGAAAGGCAGATACAGAAATCGATAGAAAAGTAGACACAGTATAGAGGGGATGAGGATCTAGATGAACGTGACATAGGCCACCGCAAGCTGCCACATCCAATATAGTATTCTGGCACAACATTTGATGGAGGAATCTCGCTTGCTCTCATGCTTCCCTTTTTGCTGTATAGTTCAAGTCACATTCACGTTTTGTCAAGCAAGCCACTGGCATTGATATCCAGAGTTAGCCGTTCAGTTATGCAACATACTGAGTGCACAAAAATTTGCAAAACTTCCGGGCACAAATATAAGCAAGTACAGGACGTGAAAGCACATTGAAACATATGAGCGCCGGACGAAATCTGTTGTATATCTAGCCTGACGGCCTAGAATGGGTCGGCCCCCATCGGGTTCTGCAGCTTTGTAGGTATGGCTGCAACACAGGCCCACTTGTTGCCCTCAGCAAGCTTGGTTGGCGGCATCAAGCTTGCCATATTCAGCAAGCCAACTGTGAGGGCACGAATGAAGTAGTAGTGGTTGTACAAGTTGTGGGGAAGTTGCTCTTCCATGGGCAGAAACATATTCAAAGTGGGCATCGGTCAGCATCGGTTGGGCACCGCAGTGAGAAAGCTATTCAGTGGGTGCGGCAGCTCGTCTCAAGACCCCTACACCTACCAAAGGCACCTTTCGCAAAAGCTGTGGCCCCCTTGCAGGCAGCAGCCAAGGGCCAGCAGCAACTCCATCATCCAGTTGCCATTGGGCAACAACAAGTTCTTTCAATTCAGCTGCAAAACAGGTCCGCAGGCGTACGCATCTCAAACTGAGAAGAGCAACATATCAAGTTTTTGCACAAGCCACACATGTAGCGTGGCAGCGTGCTTCCTTAAGTGGTTGGTACGAGTAAATCGAAAGGACATCAATAGAGGGGTCGGCCCCCATTGGTCGTGCAGGTCCGATGCAGGTTTCCCGGATGCTCATATAGAGGAAATGATACCGAGGTGCAACCTTATGTATGCCCAAGATGGTTTATACAAACAGAAGATGCCCGTAAGCCATGGGTTCAGCCAGCGCAGGAACTCAGGCCCGAACCAGGACCAACGAAGAAACTTTCGACGAGCTGCCCACTTCAAGTTTCATGTGGCTGGCCTAACCGTTCTGCGCAACATTCCAAGCACATGACCAAGAGCCCTCAAACAATGATTTCAATCCTGGCAACCCAAATCACGCCTCGGCCTCCTCCTCTGTTATCCAGCGCAAAGTCCTGCGCACAACGTGCCATCCCAGGCAGGCACGTGTCCAAAAGGAATTGACAGGAATTGATGGGGGCTGATGGGAGCTCATGGAGGAACAAGCGGCGCTTGCCAACTTTCTCCTGTGACTCAGACACAAGTGTTGGGGGGTATTGACGTTCAAGGACTACATGGACTGGCTGATGTGGGCACAGTACATGCGGATATCACGTACCTGCTTGATTTGTGAAGGTTGATAGCTGTGTCTCCCGCTCTTGGTTTTCAGGCTGGCCATGTGGAGGTATATAAGTCCACTGTCATCCATCAGTATGTGCACCTCGTTTCGATTTTGAAATATATTCAATTAAAAAATGTTGGAGCTACACACTGCACTTAATGACTTAATGGCTGAACAGCTAAAACACGAACACGAACTGCTTGCTTCAGAAAACAGCCAGCCGCTTTGGCTTCGCATAGCATCATGTAAGTCTACCCGGCTACCCCTCTCCAGACGGAATCTGGTCAATGAGGGAACTCTTCACCAGAATTGCATGTCAATTGTGGTCGTGGAGTCGCGGCTCCTGCTGTCTACTTCAGGTGATGATGCTATGGACCTATGGACACGGTGCAAATCAACCTGCCATGGCTGCTATGAGCACTTAATTGTCACCCATATTCAACGGCTGGGCACGCTGGTTCCAACGCGAGCCGAGAGGATTGAACGACTGAGGAGGCCTGACAGCTAGTCAGGCCAAACTTCTTCGTAAGTTTTAGTAAAGGGGACTAAAACTGTTTTCCTGTACCGAACCCTCGAGAGGTATGTAAATCTCAAGGGTTGCATGAATCACTGAGCTACTTCAACCATCGGCTGGGACGAACGCGATGACCATTGCCAGGATAATTTGGACAACTTCTCAAGATCCGCTGAAACAAACACGGTGTTCTTGCTTCCTGGTTCCGAAAATTTCATCGCTCTGTTCTTTATGACCCAGTCCGATTTGTCAAATGGTCGACAAGAAAGGCAAACTAGTCAACTTCAGAGCAAGGGAGTCTAATGCATTTGAACCCCTACAACAATCTCAAGGACCCCCACCCATTACACCGCACAATAAACTTTTCGTATTTTGAACCAAGCGGAACGTGGCGGAGCAGAGAGCTTTTGAGTCCCAAAAGAAGAGGGAAGACTAGGTTGAGGTCTGGTGGAAGTCTGGTGGAAAATACAAGTTCAAATATATATATAATATAACGAAGGATGACGGCAAGGGAAACCTCATTAGTAGAAGTGACACTTGAAGGCGCTCCTACAGTGGGGGAAGCGGTGCATTTGCCTGGCTTAGGAGCCTCAAACCACGCAAGAAAAGGTTGCGCTTTTACGTAAAATTTTGTAGGGGAGTTGGATTTGATTTCATCACATTTATATAATCTTTGGACAAAATCTCTCCTTGTGCAGTTGCGCTCTTTGGCACTCCAGCCCCTGCTATCCAACCCAAAGCGGTTGCGCAATTCTGCATCCTTGCCGGGAAATCAGCACAAGTGCTTTTCATCAACTGAGCAGCAGACTAGTCTTTAAGCAGTGCAACTGGAGGGTCGAGGGTTTTTCGTCCCATGAGTTCGACCAAACATGTCACTGTGTTTCAGTCCTGCGAAAACACATGGCCATGGATGACTTCCTTTCCTGGCAGCTAGTGCCAAAACAACAGCTGGGTGCACTGCAGCGCACAAGCATGGCAAGGTCGAAGAATGTTATGCCAGAACCTTTGCCACCGAGTAGCGGTAAACGGTATACAGGCCGGGGTAGGATGGCGAGTTCTGCTCCTCTTCTTCCAAGACTACATCATCGTCCAGGACCACCTCTGCTCGGCACACCATCATTGATCTCAACATCTCTGAGCCACCAAAGTCTAGCAAAGTCCAGGGTCTAGCATGAAATCCGTGGATGTTTGGCTACAGTACTTCCAAGCTGTTCCACCAGCCAACCTGCCGGGCAATTGGCGTAGGACCCACTATGACTGTGACCTGAAGCCTGCCCGTAAGACACTCTCCATTGATAATCTGATATGTGTGAGATGTGAACAAAATTCCTGGGAGAGGTCTAATAGGGGCATAGGGAAATGGCAAATTAGCAGCCTTCACAGAAACCGTCGATAGAAGCCCTGAGTGAGGCGAAGCGCTCAAAATTCAACGTTTCATTATTTGTGATAACCTGATATAACCTGCATCTATGTATATAATATATATATATAGATACGTACACTACACGAGGTTCACGCCGAGTTCGTGCTCTTTTTGCGAGGCACGATTGACGGATCCAAGTTCAATGTCTCCTCAGGACCAAAGAAGAACGATCCAAAGTTCACAAGCCAAGAGCCCAATTCCCTTCCCAGAATTGGAAGAAACGTCCTCCAGAATGCGGCGCGCAGTCTGGGTCACATTCTCGTACGTTTCCTCGCTCCAGGAGCTACAGCCGCATTCAACTCGTGTGATCGAAGGACAAAGATTGTCTGCAGCATTTTGAAGTGGGATGAGCACCCCTACCTACCTATTTGGGAATATTTTAGGTGATGTTTCTGACGTCCTTCTTGCTGCCTGGCAATCGCCAAGTGCTGCGTCGACGACCATCTGCATATAGCTCCTCCAAAGCTTGGGTCAGGGCCCACCGATGCGAGTCATGCCCATGGGTCACCTGAAGGAAGAAAAAGTGTGGACCGCGGACTTCAACCACCGTTGTTTAGACTACCTGTCAAGCCTGTCAAGCTGTTGAAAAATACGCCGTAATTTGCGTAGCATGAGCCAAAGGCGCTGGATGTATTGCAAAGAAGCTGCATGAAACAAAAAATCCGACATTGGCACTTCCGCTGTGCTGGTGGTGTCAGCCCTCCTCTGCATCGATCAAAAGACGTTCATGGTCATCCTCAGCTTTACCAGTGATGTGGCTCAGGCTTGCGAAGGGCCTTTAAGCACCTATGCTAGAGGAAGTTCCTGCTTGGCTGCCAGGCGAAAAGCTTGAGCAAAACGACGTCCACCACACGCACGATCTTCCTCACAAAATATCAACCCGAACTTGATTTAGCTCTCTTGCGATTTATTTTTCACTGCTGAATGCACAACACAGAACTATCGAAAGTGCAATCAAGTATCTTGTAATCGGCCGCATCCAACCTTTGGAAGGAGGAACGGCACTTCTTGCAAAAAAGTGGATGCACCATGCACTCTGAGTGCAAACAAAGTACATAAGCCTTGAGGAATCACTTTGGACTTCTTGTGCCAAGGCTTCCAGTGACTTGGCTCCTCCAACACCAAAGCATGCCTGATTACACCGAGCAAAAGCCCACCGTGTCGACATGCGTTCAACTAGACAAATCACAGGAACCTATAAGTTCTGAACCAACAAGGAGCAAGTAGCTACTAGGGGCTCCTGGCATCGCTACTAGTAACAAGAAGCTAGGGCTCTGGCCTTACTACTAGGAGCGACGCTACTAGGGGCTCCTTCGCGCAGCAGCACAAAGTGGCCATATAGCACGACTTTCGGGGAGGACGAGCCAAGAGGACTGAGTGCACTGCTCATACCCTGACTCACCACACGGGGCATCCAAGAAAAGAATCTCCCAGGTATAAGTTAAAGATGCTAGTTAAAGTCGGTTAAAGAAAACCTTTGTGGGTCACCCATCATCTGTGGTAGGAGTGGCCTACTCGGAATGACTCGTGCATATCCAAGATGCCGTTTTGACATTGTGCTCCTCCAAAAACTTGGCCAGGAGCCTGAGGGCCAAGTCACAACCCAAAAGCTGTCACGTGAGCCTTGAGGGCCCTACTCCCAACTTTGATAGGCAGTTAAACCTTACAATTCCTGCCAAGGTTCGGCAAATCCAAGTCTGGAAGTTGAAACCTGGAGCGCGGAACTGGATGCAAAAATGCTGGCAGTCTAATAGCGTGGTGTCAAGCCAGGTGGCGCTTCTTTCTCCGAAGACGTGCCGCCTTGCAAACCTCGTGCTTGAGCGTGGCGACTCTACGGATCGAGACGATCCAACCCCACAGCCCTACACTATGTGTCGGGACACGATGTCGCTTCAAGTGCGATGTAGGGTTCTGCTCAATGTGTTGAATCTATTGGCATCTATTGGTGAACATTGCTTGGATGCGTTGCCTACTTCCAAAATTGCTTGCACCATCGAATTCACTCAAGGCACGATGAAAACTCTGATGTTTCCTCATCTCGGAGCCTTAGATGTCCGATAAAGACACGTACAACAAGTAGGCTTGCATGTAATTTTATATTATCATACACGGACAAATCAAGTAGCCACTCACGAACACCGAGACAGCAAGGACTTGACAATGCGTCAGGATCGGCGAAGCGAACAGAACACGAGCAAAAAACTTGCAGAGGAAAACCTAAGCTGGAAGGCCAAAACTGCAGCCTGGGCACGAGGAAGCCACTTGTAGAAACGGCGCACGCCCCTGCGGTCCTTGACTGCGAACTCATGGTTGTAATGGTTCCTTAGGAAGTCAACCAAGACTTGGACATAACATGCATGAGAGCACATCTAGACCAAGTGGTCCAAGTGTAAATCCATCTGAGCGGAGGTGCTGAGGTCTTTCGTCTTTCATCCAGGCTCTCGTGCACATTGGAAATGCTTAGCAAGCACAAAGTACTATAGCTCTAGCTTCAAGTGGCTCTTTTTTGCTCTAGAATCCTGTGTCCATTCAAGAGCTAAAATCTGCAAATGCTACGCATGTCATAGCATTTCTTGTATCATGATACCCTAGCAGCTCCAATCGGGAACTATGTGATGGGGATATGTTGTTGACTACATAGGTGCACTTGGCAGTGCCGCAACCAATGGATGGACCAGTGAGCGGCTACCACAAGTCCTTTTCCAATCCCAACTGTGTTAAATAAAAGTGCTTAATGATCTTAATGCTCCGGTAGGAGGAGGGATCTCCGTCACGAAGCGATGCAAATTACCCAATGCTCAACCACGGGCACCGCAGAATCTGCGACTTCTCTTTGGAATCCTGAAATCGCCGCCATTGCCCCTCAGCACAACACCACTAAGGAAGTCCAAGCAAATTCTCACAACATAATCACCCAAAATTGAGTTTCGTTCACATACTGCATCACAGCCGCTTGTTCGCGGCTCAGGGACTTTTGAACATGTTCCTCTTCCATTCGCGCAAGCAAGGAAAGGCGCCTCCCAGTCACTGATCAGCACAAGCCAAATGCACACCGCAGGATTGAGTTGGGACATGGATTATAATAAACTCACCGGGAAAATCATGGGGAATAGCACCCACACATATCTTGAGCTAACCTCGAAGAATGTCCGGGAGAGTTTGTATCCCACTTGACCTGCGCTTGATGCCATGGTCCACACGCTCGGTGAAGGCATCTGACTCCAACGCTTCGCCCTCTGAAGTGTTCCTTGAGCTGTGCACCCGAGCAAACTGAAAACGCGGAATCGTGACGGTCTGTCTCTTCTATGATCTTCTATGCCTTATAGACCCGCAGGCGATACGTGCTCCAATGCAAATCACACATTTCTCCCCAAGCAGAGATACAAGTCAGGGAGGTACAAGTCAGGGAGACGCAGAAACACAACTGCCTATGGGCCCCGTGAGCCTATCAGGCAGTTCTGCATCTGCACGCCAGGAGGACCAAATCCCAATCCAGCTTGGCTGTGTCAGTTGCACAGCGCTTCCGATGTCCACTGAAAAATCGGTATGCAAATTTTGAATCCTGACCCCCTTCCGATGTCCCCTAAGGAAATTATTTCCCCCAAAAAGGTTGGCTTCTGACGCCATGCTGCGGCCTAATCTTTAAATAGAGAAGCTCTCGCTCTATCTTTTCCTCAGCCAGTGTCTCTGACATGGTGTGAGGTGGTCAGCCATTCAGGCTTTCGTACCCGTCTTCCCCGCCTGTTCACAAGAAGCGCCAAAAGCATCCTGTTTGAAAAGAAGATTCCACACCTTCTCGGGAAACCTTGAGTTAAAGAAACACTAAGCTGTAGCAACGCTTCAAAATTTTCCATGGCTGTGAGGATCGTGGCTCTGGTATCCTCATGGATGTCTGTCACGAACGCGCTTGCAGCCACTTCCTGAAGGTAGATGTCCATTACCTTCAGCAACAGCCACCTGCCGCGCCGCCGCACCAATTCGGCCGATTCTGTCAGGCCTATCAGGTACGTTGCCCCTCCGGGGCCGAAAGAGGCTAGCGTCAAAGGCTTCTGCTGGTTCACCACTTTGATCGGCAGGCCAAGTCTTGTCAACACCTTGTAAAGGCGATGCCTCACAGTCGAAGGCGAACCAGGCCACACTTTCTCATGAGGTTTCAACCTTCCCAGGCCAATCCATGCAACTTGAATCAAATCTGGAGGTTCCAGTTTGCTCGACTGATGACGAGCTGCACGGAACCTCGTCTTAGGTTCAAGGATCTTGATGAGCACGTGGTCGATTGAAAACCTCACGTCCTGGGGGGATACAATGTCTCGAAGACATGCGTTCAACAGCTCACCGCTCCTGAGCAGACATGGCGAACAACGCTGCTTCCCTTGTCCAACCCCACACAAGGCATGTGGAGAGGACAGCCAGCAGCACTTGTGCGGGCATCGCCCGATGGCGCTCCACCGGTTCAAAGCTTGTCCACATGGCACATAGGTCCCATGCCTGTTGAAGTGATCTTCGTAGCACCGGCCTCCGAGCACTGACCAAATTAATGGTCTCCGACAGGTGGTAGTATGGCTTTCCTTTTGCAAACAAGTGTCGCCCGTACCTGGTGAGGACTTCATTGATCTTGTCAAGGTCAGGGGGGCTTGATTGAAAAATTGCATCATAGCACATACCCTCTTCTCGAAGCCAGCAATTGAAAGCAGCTCCCAACTGACTTCGGATCGAAGTCGTCAGAGGCGTCACTCGCCTTCCATCGGGCAGTTCAATGCCCTCTCGCTGGCGCATCCGCTCGGCATCTCCATGGCGCGCCCCTACCGCCCGGGCCACATCACTAGAAGCTAGGAGGGAACAAAGACCAACCACCCAAGTGACGAGTTAAAATCCATGAGAAGACCTGGGTCAAAGGAGAGAGACGGGCCATACTTGCGCAAGCAGCTAGGCTCAAGCAGCGAGTCCACGAGGGACAGAGCAAGATGCAAAGACGGAGCCAATTTGAAGTCCACCTCCTCAAGCTGAAGGACGCGACCCACCTCAGCTCCTCTTCTGATAGCTCATCACTGAAAGCTCGGAGAGCATGAGGGATCATTGTATCTCTTGTGGGATGGTCAGCCGGGTTCCATCTGGTAGGTGCAAAACATCCTGATTGATACAGGCCATATGCTAGCGAAAGCACGCTTGCCCTCTTCAGAAGGAGTCTCAAAGCTCCAGAAGCGCTTTCCCCTGGTCAAGGCGCGCAAAGCAACATTTGAATCAATGAAGCTCACAAAACGTAGGTCTCCTCCTCTGAGTGCCTCTTGCTCATAGGCTCGAAGAGCGGCAGCCATCTCAAGGACGTTGATATGAGACTGGCCTTTCCAAGTCCAGCTAGCGCTCACTTTCCACTCAGAGGAGAGGAGGACTTCATTTGATAGCTGGTCCTCCAAGCCAGGGGGCACAAAGGATTCTGCATGAGCTTCTCGGGCAGCAGATACGTGGGCAGCAAAAACCCTTGCCAAAGCCAAAGCCAGACCATGGCAATACGTTGCCCTCGGCTTGGTGAACTTGCCCTCGATCCGAAGATGCTTGTGGTCCCTGGAGCATTTCTTGGCCAAAGACTGAGCCGACATCACCACAGTCAGGAATGCAAACTCCTTCTGGTGGACAGAACCATAGGCGCAAGAAGCCAGATGCACTTCATCGGCGCAAAGATCCCTCGTCTGTTTCCACTGAGGTGTCCACCTCAGCTTTGACCTTCTAGGGGTCTCCATCATGCCCGGGGTCCTCGTTCTCTTGCCCACCATAAGGAGCCCCATGCATGAAAAAGCCATGTTGTTACCATGCACCACTCGAGGATGTTTTCGATCAAGGCCCAAAGGCTTCTTGTAAGTTCGAGGACAAGGGTGGGCTGCTGGAGAAAAGGTAGTACATGGTGGAGCAGCAAGAAAAGAGCGGAGGCGCCCCTCTTCACACATGAAGGCCAGCCAGCTAAACACTCGAAGGTCAGTGATGTCATACTGTCTGGAATAGCTCAGGTCAAAGACAGGTCCAACAGCATAGCCCATCTTCGCTAGCTCCTTTGTCACGACACCAGCCCCTCCACAGAGCTCAATGAAGTCAAAATCAAGGCCCAGAGGCCTAGAAACTTTCTCATCCAAGACCTCCCATTCAAGACCCTCGTCTACCTCGTCAAAGAAAGCATCTTTGATCCTGTGTAAAGCTGCACTCCGGCTGGGAAGCATCGGATTCTTCGCTTTCTTGGCAGCAGTCCTCCATAGCACTCGAGACATCGAAGCACTCACTTCCGTAGCCACAAGCCCTCCCTTGGTACAGGAGGAAGAGTCAGAAGCATAGACTGTCAGACAATGTCTGAGAATGGGACTGCAATATTGGACGCTGCAAGAGGCCCCAGGCAAGCAAGAACTAAGAACTCCTCAGCGGCAGCTCGGGACAAGCAGCGCAAACGAGGTTGATCCGGGTTCAACGAGAGAGGGTCAATGACCTGGAAGAGCTTGTTGATGTGCGCCATCATGGGCCGCCTGTAAAGAAGCGTAGAGATCCATGACCCAACCAAGGATGAATGCAGGGCATCAGAGGTGTAGGGCAAATTGGCCACATGAGCGCTCAACATCATGAGCCCATATCTCTTCTCGGCAGGGGCTCCCAGCGAGACAATGCCCTTCTTGGCCATCTCCTCAGAAGACACAACCTCTGTCCCGATGATCTTGTACTTCAAGGAGTCGGCCACTTCTTTGTCATCGGACCCGAGGATCTTCTGCTCTGCATAGGCCTTCTTGGCCCGGTTGAGTACCGTTTTTGACATATTAGGCTCCTCATAGCGATCCCCTTTGGCCCCACAGAGAGGTTCGGCTGACAGGCTGAAGAAGTCATCAACGACGAGGCCGGTCACAGGCTTGTTGCGTAGGATGCTCTGACTGGCGCACAGCCTATTCACAGCGGAGTGCGCTCCAGCCTCTTCCAGCATCATAGCATGCGCGCAGCAGGCAATCTCAACTCCAAGATGGTGGCTTAGGCATTCCCAGAAAAGCACCTGCTGTCTCACGGCTTTGCTTCTTCTTCTGTCCAAAATCAGTCAGAAATTGGTCATAGGCTTTTAGGCCAAAGAAATCACCAAGCGCAAAAGCCGGATAGATGGTGTTTGAGGCAGCCCTCTGGCGATAAAAATCTCTGCGATCAGCAATTGCCACCACCAACACCTCCTCATAGCGTCTCACCTCCAGCTGAAGTAGTGCTGTTGCATTTGGGATGTTGTGGGAAGGTCCATTCAACAGTCGCCCCTCGACAAAATTTCGACCCCTGCGGTCTCCGATTTGTCTGTCAGCCTCCGGACTCTTGTAATTCCCAAAGACCTTGGAGTGAAGAAACACTTCATCTTGCCTCGGGCCCAGTGAGGTAGGGATCAGCCTCAGCAAACCTCTTGCATCCCATACTTTGCACAGCTCAAAAATCTGACTGCCATCACACTCTCGAACATCAGGAAAAGACCCTTTTGGAGGAATGACATCAAATCTATTGACCTCTGGCTCAAAGGGCATGTAGAGGAGATCCGACAGGAAAGGAGTGCAGTCCCAATTTCCTGAGTACCAGTCTGATCCGCGCCGCATCCAAAGGCCTGTAGGGCCTGAGCTCATCACAGACACTGTTGTCCTGAGGAACTTCCAGATCAGCAGCTCCATGATGATATAGAGAGCTTGTCAAGGACATCAGTGAGCTCCCTCAATCTTGCATCTAATCGGAATCGCTTCCGTCCACCACCACTCATAGAAACAAAGGAGGGGGGGCCGCTCGCCTCGCAAAACGTCCTGATACGATCGAAGACCTTCTTGTGCATTGGTCCAGGACGCCTCCGAAGCGAAGAGAGGATAGCCATCGGGTTGCGGAAGTGCTCATAGTTGAGGGCCATGACAATCAAATGCATCATTTTTCTCAACGCTCTTCTTCTGACTCCTCAGCTCCGGGCCAATCCGACATGCATCCTCAAAGGGGATCGGAATTGGGAACAAGGCGGTTGCAATGCAGTCATCGCGACCATTGCGACTGGCTGAGATGGTCCTCACAATGAAATAGGAGAACCGTGTGCGGGAGGATAGCACCTGGCGAAGAATTGACGCACCCAGGCAACAAAAGGCGTAGGATACAGCAATGACTCAGCCGGTCCAATCTTCCCTGGTCTTGCATCTAATTGTTCCGTCCTCACAACATCATCTTCTGTGGTTTCAGGGTTTCAGCATTGTTCAAAGCCACAGGAGGGGCTCCGCCAAGGTGCCTTTCTGAAGGACCACTTCGTGACATGCTGCCAGTATCTTCAAATGGCATGCCATTATACTCAGACAGAACGCTCTCCGGCGTCTCATAGTCATCATAGCCGTCATCAGAATCATCTCCCAGCGGTTCACCCTGCTCCTTTCCCCTCCCTTGGAGCCCCCGACCGTGTACAGCGGTCGCCCGCTCTGACATAGAAGAGTTCGGCAAGGGACCACCAAGGAGAGTACAGGGAGCTGCAGGTCCAGGGCCTTGGGGCCGGTGAACTAGCTGCCGTGATTCTCCTGATTGGCTGCCGTGGCCTTTGCCTTCGGAAATCTCCCTTTCTTCTTTGGTCCTGGCATAGGTGGATTGGCCTGCTGGTGGCCGGACTTCGGATGAGTCACCTCTGCTCTCTTGGTCTGGATATAGTCCATCTCTTTGGAGTACGCCAAAGCAATGGTGGATCACCTGCAGAACAAAAAAGATCGTGTCAGTTCCTCCTGCTCTTCCTACAGTCACTTCTGGATTGGATGGAAATGTGCCTCCTCAAGTTTTTGCAGAGGAAACAAGTCCCATGGCTCAGGGCGACCCTTTCGCTCGGGCAATGTTGGAGCAGAGCAAAGCTTTGATGACTCTTGTAGCCCACATGCAGCAGGGTGGCGATCCACTGACTGTTGGACGGGCAGGGCTCCTCATCCAGCGGATCGTTGGGAACCAGAGGCTTGGTTGGAAGAGAAAAGCTTCAGAAGGACTTGGCCTTGAAGTCCGGCAGTTTCTTTCTTGCTGTCCTGCAAAATGCTGCGAAGAGGCTGCGACCAGCCAGCCCCAAGCCAGCTACGATAGAAGACATTGCCGCCACCGACTTTTCGATGATCCAGTACCTCGAACGATTTGGCGGCTACGGGCAATACAAAGAACTGGGGCTGATCCAGTGCGCCCTTGCGCACATCTGCGATGCTCTTGTCCATTCGGACCTGAATGGCGCAAGGGATTACCTGAGTCTGCTGATGGTGGGAGTGGATCAAGCGAATTTGGACGGCAACAGATGGGAGCTGGCCTACAGGATGGTGCTGCTAGAGGAGCCTCCTTCCCAGCTCTGGAGCTATCGGAACCAGAGCTACGATCCAAGGGCAAAGAGTTTCTCCTCCCTTGCCCCTCAGCAGTGAACCATTGTTGGACGGCACCAGCTCCATAAGGACAGAGCAGCCGTTGTGACCCTCTTCTTCTGGGAAGATCCTTTGGTTTTCTTGGGGTCTCCAGGGACATACCCCGCGCCAGCTCCTCCCTGGATGGAAGGTGAGCTGCCCAGACCTCCTCCTGCTCGACACCTTCTTCCGCGAAGTAGAAGGCTGCACGATGCCCTGCAGTGGATGCGAGCCATTCCTGAACCATCTGGACAATGAGAGTAGGATCTGGGATGATGTCCAGGTCCTCTCCAAAACCAATGAGACCCTGATCCTCTGTCTCTGGCACCAACGAAAGCGGAGTGATTCCACGTAGGGCTTCCACTCCTAAGTCCACCACGTAGACTCCAATGTCTACACCGATCTGCTCCATGCCGCCGCCTGACCTTCGAACTCCAGGCAACTCCATATGTGTGTTGAGACCGACCGTATCCGTCTCGGAAGGGTCGACCGGGAGCGTACCCGCTGGGACCAAGGCAGTTGGCATTGCAACTAACACCCCTCCTCCAGCAGCTTGCCTCACCATGACAATCAAGCAAATTCCTGGCCTGGCCTGAACCAAATTGGGATCTGGTGGCCAAAATATGCGGAAGAGCTCCACATTCTCTTTAGCTCCATTGATACAGCTTCTCAGGGTCTGGGATATTGAGGGCCAAGCAGTAGACCTTTGCCCCGGCCTTTGATGCAAAGCCGTGTGAGATGCTGACCGATGTGGAGCCACTGAAGTCTCCAAGCAATGCGCGATAGTCGGGCGCCTTCTCCACTCGCACAGGCTCGGTGATGCCTTCTGCACGCACGACCACGTAGGTGGTATTGGCCAAATCGCAAGGAGTGGTAGGTCTGCGCTTGCTGATCCGCCCATCCAAACAAAATCGGGCCCAATGCCCTGCAGTCCACGCCCGCTCTGCCCTCTGTCTGAATGACAGCTTGCCTCCTCTAAGATTGCCACACAAGCGAAGAGCCTCACCAGACAATTCAGGAATTTCCAGGGCCAAGGCGTTGTAAGCCGATGAGTTTGACGAAGTCCTGGATGTACTCGGGCCTGGAGCCGCTGAGACCACCTCAAATTCCTCAGAAAAGCCGTGGTGCTTCTCACGATTCTCAAGCTCTGCCACCTTCTGCTCAAGGATGTCCACCCGGATGAGTAGTTGCTGGACCTGAAGTTGGAGCAGTTACTCATATAAGTATGCCTGGATCCGAGAACCAGGATGATTTCCGGCTGAAGGCCGGGACACGGGAGGGACCACAGGAGGTCGGAGAGCAAAAGGAAGCAGGCCCAGACGAAGGCCTAGTGCGCAAGCAAGGCCGAAACCCAGGAAGAGGCCAAAGCCGAGGCCAGTCAAGGCAGAGAGCCCCAGAGCCGTCCAAGAAGGCGGGCCGCAGTGGGAAGGACAGCTCAAGCCCCACCAGTTGGATTCCACCCCAAGCTTCAGGAAATCCAGGAGTGAAGTGACCGAGAAAGGTGTAAGCATGAAATCTTGAGCAAGAAAAAGGACGATTGGTCGCTTTCCTGAAAAGCCAAAAGGACAATCCAGTCAGTCTTTTTGTGGACCAGCTAGGCTGCAATCCCACCATGGTTGTTGATCTCTTTGTAGTACCTGGCATGCACCAAAAGGATGGTCTCTGAAAATTGCTTCATTCATGGCATGTCTGATTTGGTCGTGTATTATGTTCATTTGTCTGGACTGCTTGAGGCTGTGGCCATCCAGCCAAGGGTGGCACAGCAGCTGAGCAGCACTGAATCGCACGGCTTCATCACGCTGCAGCCTGAGGTGTCTTAAAAAACAAAAACTCACAAGAATGGTGAACAACTGACCCAAGAAAAGTTGCAAAGACGTTCCGGTGCATGCATGAAGTCGGTTGCGGCCAAACACCCTCCGCACACGTTACAGAAACTGGCGCAAATTCAATTTGTTGGAGCACAACCTTCAACATGTGAAAAGTCAAAAGAAATCAAGAACAAATGCCAGTTTGCATTCAGCTCATGCGGCTCGTGCAAACTGGCATAGTTGTCATGCACTGCAAATGGAATTCACTCGAGCCGCTTGGACACAACCACAAACCCCCGTCGCCTCTCTGCCCATCGATCGGGCCACGGACTTTCCGCGTTTATCTTGATGTCAAGGAGCATACTTTGCACGAAGTTTTCACATTCAGCATTCACATAGTACGGGAGGGCCGCCTCTCACTGCTATGCAACTTGACATGAGCACAAGATGCAGCTTCTTCTCCAGTGGAAGAGAACCAGCAAAGTGACTCAAGGAGAATCGACTGCAAAAGCGTGGCATCTTGGCCTCTTTCACTCTCACGTCGGCCTCTCCCTGAAGAACTGACTGGGTTTACTCGACATACCAGGCTTACTTGCCTTCAATTCTGGAAGCGCCTTGAAGGGAAACTTGCCCGTGAGCAAGCCAAAACACAGCACACCCAAAGCCCAAATATCCACCTCAGCTCAGATGCTCAGAACTTGACAGGGGACCGTACTGTACCCACTGCCAGGCCTTGTTGGAATAGGAACGGTTGTATATCCTAGGCGTGCAACTACAATGAGTCAAAATTCCGGACTCAAACACATCGTGAATGAAACACAGCTTGCATCGGCAGCTCGGTAAAGCAACTGTTGCAGGGCGGCAAGGCACTCAGGTGACCAAAATGATCTCGTTCCGGAGGGCTCGGTGAGCCGATCCCCTTCACGGTTCAGTTGGGAGCGCAAACTTACATGTGAAGAAGTCTTTTGAACACGTTCTGCGGGTGTTGTCAAAAAGCGAAGGTTGTGGTGCCTGAATGTAGCATTCTTGCGCTGCCAAAATCTGCCAGTGCAATGTGACCTTCCAACGACGTCTCACTTCAACTTGCACCAAGCATCAAAGGAAATAGGTCTACACGTTTTGCACATGGTGTTGGTTGATCTGCATGGCTGGGAAGGTTGCCCCTTTCAGTTCGTCGCAGCACATTCTCGGAGTTTATTTGTTCTTGGTTAATGGGCTACCTTGGTTGGGTTTGGGCTGAGCAATCGCACTGAAATCAGTTCACCGCCAAAGTGCATTGAGGATCCGTGAGAGCAGGTCGATCCATGAGGAAATTGTCGCCCTTAATGTCCTCAGTGCTGCTACCCATCAGCACTGCTACCCAACAATCCCACAACTATGCATCTAAATGCCGCCAGCCTTGGCCAAACTGCAAGTTATCTTTGGATAATGCCAACGTTATCAAAAAGATTCAAACAGTTGTTTTCTTGACGCTAGACTTTATACAACATGTAACTTAGTATAACACCACAGAATCAAGAAGAACTTCTATATCTGTTGCAAACTCCGACTCCACATGCATGCAAATAGCCAGAAGTTGCTTCACTTCAAGACACGGATGTCCAACATAGCACATCAGTTAAGCATCTCTATGGACAACATCTTGGCCGTGGAGATATTCCAAAGCCAATACCATTTGCCCTTGGCTGCTGCAAGTTCAAGCGGACGACACAGGGTGTATTCACAAAAAAAATCTGTCAAAGATTGAGAACCGCAGAAAGCCAAGATGCTTTTGACGTGAACCTGGAAATGCTGAGATGTTTGTTTCGTCCAGCTGCGAGTCCAAAATTTGAGGCTGTGACAGGAGCCACACTAAGGGCGGCACCAGGTCATAGTCAGCAAAACAGGTCCGTAGCTTAGATCGCTCCTGGTGTTGCAAACGGGTCATTAAAACAAGTGTTGACAAAGTTCACATCCTCCAAAGCACCCACTACATCTCCGCCATCAAATTTGCTCATGACAATGCACCTCACCAGTGCAGCAACCAATGTGGTTCAGCACCATTTGGGGCAACCAAAATGCACCAAAAAATTGTATTGCAAACTCCTGCCGCCCAAGTCTCACAAAACATTTGTCGTAGAACACACCAAAACACTTCACCTGAAACAAATCGTTTCAACAAAGTATGAAAACAATACATGCTGGAACGCCAAAATCCTGATCTTGTGCCGCCGAGCTGCAATATTTGCGTGGTTCAGTCTCTGCAGCAGCTCTGCCTCATCCTTGATTTCTTTGAGCCTGGGATGCGAACAGGGCGCGGGTATATGGGAAGGTGTGTTTATCAAGCGGGCATCGCTCAATTAATGAAACCGGCTGATGCTCTCAGACAGAGGGTCGGAGTCTCCACTTTGTCGACCATTTTCACTGCAAATTCATTGCCGGTTCTGATGTTTCGGCCTTGGTCAGCCATCCATAACCTATGCAACATGCACAACACAATCTTCACATTTGTCAAGCCATCTTGCTGCCAAAACACAGGCTGACACAACTCCGAAAGCTCCTGGCAGGATCTGGGACGCAACCAGCAACACAAGTTGATTCAATTGTTCGGATGTTCTTCCTTGTCGAGGCCGTGAGCAAAGCAAATTGAAGCAAATGTGCTACAGCTGCTACATCAAGCCAGCAGGCTCCTTTCCTCTGAAAAAAGAATCTGCACTGGTCGGTCAGCATTGTGATACCAGCATGGACCCCAAACAATTTCAAACGATTTGTTTGGACAAATGTTAGTCAAAAACAATTTCTTGGCACGCCCTACCTTCCCCCCAAAAGCTAACTGCTCCATCAATGATTTGTCGGCATCGATCGCTACTTGTTCGGCCACACTCCTCTCCAGCTGTTGACCATATTCATAAAAATTGACAATGTCCAATGCGTCTGACGGGCACAATACCACAGTATGAGTACGCGAACCCGCTTCTTTCGCGGGCGTCCAATCTCAGGCGTGAGGCCAGTCAGTGGCCAGGCTATGCCAGGCTGGTCAGCGCGGCCAGAGGACAACAGCAGGACAACAGAACGACAAGAGGAGGACAAGAGCCCGGCCACAGAGCCCGGCCAGAGTTCAGGGGCGCGGCCAGTCAGTGTGGCCAGCTCCTTTTGTTTTCTTCCCCAAACGGTGTGGACACACTTCGGGGTTCTTACTGTAGTAGTTAAGCAGCTGTGCTTAGATCGGTGTGCCGTGCGGGCGTGTACGGCTAATTCGCTGCTATTTACAATACATTCATGCCTCTCGACGTGTCTTTCGACTGCGCAGGGTCACGAAATCTGGGTGGCCGCGGCGGGCGCTTGTCGCGACTGCGCTCTCGTTGTGGCGCCGCGCGCATTTTCGCACATGGTGATCGCTTTGCATGGCAGGCGAAAGGGAAACCTCGTGTTTCGGTGGTTTAATCTTGACTTTTCGTGACAGGTGCAATGGATCAGAGTGGTTTTGCTTCGAAGTGCAGATTTCCTTGCAGGCGCAGCCGCAGCGCTTTGGACATGGTCGTGGTGCAGTGAGTCGTGACTTTTGCACATGTGGCTCGTTTGCAGGTTTCGTGGCAGTCGTGGCAGACGCAGCACTTTGTGAACCTCGAAGTGCAGATTTCGTGGCAGGCACAGCACTTGATGAACCTCGAAGTGCCGATTTCGTGGCAGGCACAGCACTTGGTGAAGCTCGAAGTGCAGATTTCGTGGCAGGCACAGCACTTGGTGAAGCTCGAAGTCCAGATTTCGTGGCAGGCGCAGCACTTTGTGAACCTCGAAGCGCAGATGTCGTGGCAAGCGGAGCACTTTGTGCTCTCAGATGCTCACTCTTTCACTCCCTCACTCTCATTCGCACTCACTCACACACGCTCACACTCACACACACTCACATTCACGTTCACTCTCACTCTCACTCACACTCAGACTCACAGCCACAGTCACACTCACCACCACCGCCACCATCTCCACCTTCATCACCACCATCACCTCTCTGGACCCCATGCAATGATCTCTAGACTTTCTGCTGCTACACCTCTGACCTCACACACATTGTTGAGGGTCTCTTGCCGGGATAATTTCTAGTTAGCGCATGCCTTCACTTGTATGGGGGAAGAACTGACGTTCTGTCAGCCTTAGCCCTCTTCCTCACGGTCAAAACTACTGCAATGTTTTGTCTGAACCCGAACCCGAAAAACGTTGATATTCCATCCCGTCTTCAGGGTCGCGACTTTTCTGCCCTGATGCGCCGGTTCGTTCTTGATGCAGGTGACAGAAACAAAATGTTTTGTGTTGTCGTTTTTCTCACAATGGTCTCGGGTTCATTCGTGATGGATTTCGTGAGCTCTGGCACGCCGTTCGAAGTTTCATCCTCGGCATCTTCTTGTTCTCGGGCTTTGGTGGCTTCAGCCGCTCTTTCAATGATTCGAAGTAATCATGGAGTCCGACGCGCAAACGCCTGCTCATCCATGGTTGTGAAAGCAGTCACTACTTGCCGCAGTTTCTTGCTATACTTCTAACGCATTCGCCAGATTCCTGGATAGCCTGTGCGCAGAGACTACCTGCATCATCCTCCGCTGAACGGCTCTGACTTTTCTCAACACATGCATTGTTGTTGTCTTGCTCAACCATTGCTCAGTAATTTCGCGCGCAATTTGTCGAATCAATCACACAACGCACCGGCAAGGTTGATGTTCTGCACCTCGCGTTTCTCCAACTAGAAGCCGCCGCTATCTTTGGAATGCCATTTCTTTGATTGCCGCGCAATGGGTGAGACATGCACATGGGTGCTCATGTGTTTCTTGACCTTGATCACCATGGTAATGTCTATGATGTAGGTCTGCGCCCTGACTTCTCTGCCTGATTTCAAGATCTTGACTTCCTTTTGCTGGTCCTTCATTCTGATTCTTTTCAGCAAGAACGTCTCTGGCCCCTTGCCTTCTAACTTCCGTCTTGCTCTCTTTCTCACTGTGGGCATTGCGCGGCCTGCGTCCATCTTGTCCTCTTCTTGCTGATCACAGCCGTCATCTGCAGCTGATCCAAGCTGGCTGAGATCTCAACGGTCTAAAGTCCATAGCGCTCATTTCCAAATTCGGTCTCTGTGATTGATCCTCTACCCACTAGTTCTCGCAAGACCACATTGAAGTGACCATTATTAACAAAAGGACCCCGTACCGCGAAATCAAGCGAAGCATCAATCCGTGAGAACACGGATGAGTGATGAAGCGATTGCTTGTTTGGGCGGGTATCAATAGTTTAATTTAATATAAAGGTCCAAGGATGCGACGGAGGCAGGTAGCAAAGGCGAAACCCAGACAAGTGAAAAGCAAAGCACAAAGAAAGGCATGGACAGCATGGACTTGCCTTTTCCATCCAAGGAGCACAGAAGAGCCTTGTATTGGGGCGACCAGGGCTTTTGGAAGAGGAGGACCTAGTTAAAGAAAACGTCCGCAAAGGGCGCGCTCACGATGAATGATCTTTCATGCCTGCCTTAAGGCAGGCAAACTTAGTGAATGACAAGCTCCTTGTTTGATGGGTGGAAGATGTTCCAATAGAAAGCGGCTCCCAAAAAGAAATCATTACTTCATGTTCAGTCAGGATGTTTTTGCCAGAAAGGGGTAGTAACGAAAACTTGCAACCCATGCATGGGTCAGGAGGGCGTGCGAAATACTTAGCTGCTGAGGATCTAGGGCGGAGGAAATACCTAAATGCGCCCACACCGCTTGCGGTGCAGGGCGTGTTAGGGGCGGGTCAAGCTGGAATCATCGTCATCATCACATCGTAATCAGTTCATAGCTCTGCTAGGGGGGAGGCTTTTTTGGGGGAAAAACGTCTTACGCCTCGAGGGCCATGGGGGAGAGCGTTTTGGAGGCACATTTTTGGATTATTTTTGTGGCTTCGTTGCGACGTTTCTGCAATAACCCAAACAACACCCGCGATGCTTAAAAACCCTCCTGACCAGCAACGCATAACCAGCATTATTGCAAAAAAACAACGTAGTAGCCTCAACACATGGTCACCAAACGATCAAGCTAGCCTTGACATGATGTAGTGTGGACTAACCAAGCGGGGGCAAGGCCACAAATTGGTCGAACTTGGAGCCTGAATTGGCTTTAACATGGCCACCAAACGAGCGAACTTGGGCGTAACTCAGCCGCAACATGGCCATAGAAATACTGTCATGTGCAAATTTTTTCGACATAGTGTGAATTAAGAAGTTGGAACGCACTGACGCTGCCCCAAACTCAATTTATTTTTCGTGAGCTGTGTGCGCAATGGCACGGTGTTACCACTTCTCCGCGTCGTCTTTGGACACGACAGTTTCGTCTTTGGACCTCCCCTGTCCACTCCAGCAGTCTTTCCCCAGGCGACCGAAAAAAAAGAAGATGTGGGCGGCGGTCGACGCGAAGCGTCAAGAATTATACCAGCATAGACCCCAACCAGTTTCAAAACAATCCACGTGGACCAATGTTAGTCAAAACGATTTGTTGGTACGTCCTACCTTCCCCCCCAAGAGCAAACTGCTTCATCAATGATGTTTGTCGGCATCGATCGCCACTTGTTCGGCCACACTCCTCTCCAGCTGTTGACCATATTCATGAAAAATTGACCATGTATGCGTCTCATGGGCACAATACGGGCCCCCACGCGAGCCCGCTTCTTTCGCGGGCGTCCGATTGGACGTCATTCAGCATTGTAAACACTCGGCCACTGGGTTCAGGGGCGCGGCCAGTCAGTGTGGCCAGGGCTGGTCAGCATGGCCAGAGGACAACAACAGGATAAGAGAAGGACAACAGCAGGACAAGAGGAGGGGATAGAACCCCAACAGCAAACTGCTTGGGGAAGAAAATCGACCTCACAAAAACATGCCCGCACCTTGGGGGGAGTGGGTGCATTTTTCTTCTAGAAGGCTGTGCTTTTGAGCTCTCTAAAAGGACGAAAAATCAGCAAGCCATTGGTGATGTCGGTTGTGCTTCCCGAGTGGGACTGCATTATTGACATCGTGTGCGCTTGCCCCCGTTGTTCCCGAAAGAGAAACGAGAAAACTATTGATTATGGGAGTTATGCTGTCCGAATGGACATCCCAAACGCTGCTACCGCAGACGTTCATCTACAGTAAATTTGAACTTTCTTACTTGCACATACCCCTGTCGTGCCACTCTTGCGTTCTTTCCCAGCTCAAGAGAGCACAAATATCCATGCGGGCGGCTTCGCCGCGAAGCGGTGTGAATACCAAAGGCGGATATACCACAAATGTTTTAAAACAATTGAACCAAAACCGCCAAAGACACGAAGGATCTTTTTGGCAGGGGGGCAACTCTTTCTATACAGGATTTGTGTTGTGTATCCTTGATGCTTTTGATGTGACGCACACTCTTCGAACCCCTGATCCTGGCAATTCCCCCCAGATCTTCAATATCTTTGGCATGGCTTTCTGATCAAGAATGGACGAAACGCAAAAAGAAATACGTTACAGGAAGTAAAGTAAAACGCACAGGCTCACAATGCTGGCGCCGCAAGTGGGATAGATCAACCAAGCCTTCGCCGAGGATGTCGCCCAGCTGGTAGTGGTCCAACAGAGCAACGAGATCCTGTGCCACCGTTATCTTGGTCAATTCTTTTGTGGAGCTTAGAACATGACACCTCTCCCAGTCAAGTCTTGGATCAGGCGCCCCACCAGCTCTGGAACTGTCTCCGGCGGAACATGTGGAAATCTTTGTTGGCCTTAGCTGTGGGCATCAACACCAACAAACTGCGAGCGTGCCAATGCAGCCTGGAGGCAAAGAGGCCCACAAGCACTTTGGCATGCGCCCATTGCAAAAATACGCCATGGAATTCAAATGTGAATGTCTACACGCTCGGTTTATGCAAGGTGTGTGTGTGAGTACGTTTGTTTCATGGCTGCTTGCGTGTGGGGCAGCGCACAATATTTGATTGCCAGCGCGCGCCGCGAGACCGTTGAGCTCCATCACGTGCTTAAACTTCTGACAAGCACATCAGCCAGGACCTTCAAGCCGACGTATCGCAAGGATTTTGCGTGGCATGTTGCACCAATGCCCAGTTGCAACACCAGGGTCAGCCTCCAGTTTTTTGATTGAATACCCGCACGCCAACACAAAAAAAAGGGTTGCGAATATATTTCTGGATTTTTTTTCGTTTTTTTTTGGTATGTTTTTGTTTTTCGTGTTTCGTGGCAGGTGCAGTACTTTGTGGACCTTGCAAAGCACATTTCGTGGCAGGTGCAGGACTTTGTGGGCCTTGGAGTGCAGAGTTTGTGGCAGGCGCAGGACTTTTTGTGGGCCTTGAAGTGCAGATTTCGTGGCAGGTGTAGTACTTTGTGGCCCTTGCAGTGCAGATTTTGTGGCAGGCGCAGGACTTTGTGGACCTTGAAGTGCAAATTTCGTGGCAGATGCAGGACTTTGTGGGTGTGGAAGTGTAGAGTTGGTGGCAGGTGCAGGACTTTGTGGATGTTGAACTGCAGAAAGATAGAAAGATAAATTGATAGATAGATTAGATTAGATTAGATTAGACTAGATTAGATTAGCTTAGATTATATAGATAGATAGATAGATAGATAGAGGAGGCATATTTGCTTGGTTAGAAAGTTTTGCACCGGGGATCACCTTAAAATATTGATTTCGTGGCCGGCGCGGGTGTCGGGGATGAAGTGCAGATTTCGTGGCGCGGGGGGGGTTGGGGGGGGGCGCAGCGCCCCCCCCCAGCAGCACACCAGATCCAAAGGTGAGCAGCTCGTGCTTGCTTGCTTGCTTGCTTGCTTGCTTGCTTCCTTGTTTGGTTTCGTCTCTGCAACGAAAACAACAGGAAAAGCAAATACAAAAAGAGAAAGGAGAACAGCTGCCAAAAGAAAGAAAGAAAAAAAGAAAGATAGATAGATAAAAGGCAGACTCTTGACAACTGGAACTTCTCCAAAATACAACTAGAACTTCTTCACTTCACCCCCTCGCTGCGCAATGCAGACGCAGCTCATGCCGGTTCAAAGTAGATACTCAACCCTTCTCTCTCCCCATGGCTTCCAAGGACAAAAACAATTGGAGTGAGAATGACAAGTGTTGCCCCATCTTATCTCGTTTTTGTATGACAGGACTCTTATGACTCCTCTTCCTCTGGGTCAGAGTATGATGGATCAGGCTCTGGCACAGGAGAGGAGCTTGCGTCGTCAAACGATGAAGTGTCTGAAGGCTCAGGCACTTACTCTGAGTACAGTAGTTCAGATAGTGAAGATGGAGAGAATAATTTGGAGATTGCGCGTGAAGCTTTGAAGAGAAAGTTGGCTCCAAAAGCCATCTTGACTGCAAAGCAGAAGAAGCATCTCAGGGGTTGGGGATATGATTCTTGGGCTCAACGCTTTATCACATGGATTTAGATTCACATGGATTTAGATTGTCTTTCATACATGATTAGTCTTTAGATGAGCACCCGCAACCCCCTCCAATGATAAGGAAATGGTCCAGCGAGCAGGTATTGTGGCAGCATTTGGGCAAGTGGACATCAACATTTCAAATTAACAGAGTTTGGCAAAAAGGAAAGGTTGCTCAGCAGCGACTGGGCAGCTCAGGATTGGGAAAAAAAAATTGATGGCCAAAGTCACCTGGAGCCTGATGTCAGATTGCTTCATGGCTGGTGACCACTACTGTTTGTGTTTGAGACCCTCGTTCTCGTTAGGTGCCGGAGCTGAAGGGTCTCTTTGGGCACTAGAGGAAATATTGCCGAAGGGAACCCCAGTGTCAAACTCAAAGGTTGTCAGTTCGCATTGTTTGTGCGTCAGTGGGGGCAGTTGTGTGCCTCAGTGGGGGCAGTGGCTGTGTGCATCAGGTGGTGGTGACAGGCAGTACTGACCGTGCCCTTGGACCCCTCAAGTTCATTCTTGCAAACTGCAGCCCGCGCAGGTCTCTTGGCACTTTAAGGGTGTTGTGACAGAGTTGTTGATTGAAGGGCCGAGGGTCTTGTTGCCTTAATTAATTTGGAGTAGATTCAGGCTCTTCGTCCAGATGGCTGACCGCAACCTAGCTGGCCTGGAAGATTCCATCTTGTACACGGCCGGCTTTCCATGCACACCGTAGCTCGGAAACAACCCCTTGCATGCTAGAGAATCACTTGCATGATTTGCCCAGGTTTTCGAGACTCAGGAGCTCAACACGTTTTTTCCAGGAAAGGGCAGCTCAATGCTTTTGGGATGTTGTAGACGCGATCTTGAGGACAGGTTTTTGGATGAGAACATGTTGCGCCCACTACAGATAGTATCCTATGTACAGGTGAGAGAGAGAAATAGATAATTATTTCTGTGGAGGATTCGACCTTTGGTGAGCTTGCTGGAGAACGTCTATGGATTGTTGCGGGTTTGGAGCGAAGTTCTGGGCTCAAAGAAATTCTAGGCTCACACAATGAGTCCCACTTGCAACAGCATCAGGTCTGGGAGAAGCTAGCGACCGTCCGGAAGTTCTACTGGGTATGCTGCATCAAGGTTGATGCAAAACATCTCGGAGACCCAGCATCCAGACGGAGAGTGTATGTAATCTTGGTCAGGAAGTTTCTTGGCAGTAGTTGCTCAATAGTTGAAGCACAAACAAGCAAACAGTTACAAGTGATATCATAGAATGCTTTGCTGTTTAGATTGCCCAATGTCTACTCTGCCCAGGGATGTGGTGAAGGACTGCATCAAGAGTCACGAGGACCTGGAGAGTCACTGCAAAGAAACATATGACAGAACAAAAGTGGGGCATACACCTGGCATATCAGTGTCCGGGACACAGTACACAAGACTCTGGTTCACTGACTGCCCACACTTGGTCCTGAGGCCTGACCTTTTGCTGAGGCACGATTCAGACTATGTTGAAACAGTCCTTGACCAATGGAAAGCGGATACCAAACGCAAAAAAGAGCAACCTCGCAACAAGCAGCCGTTCAACCTGACAAAGAAGTTCCCTGTCTCAATATGTCTCAATTGGAATCTCCAGTTGCCAGTTGACCAGTTTTTGTAAAGCAGCAGTTTTGGTGCTCCCTACAATGGTTCTGTCCAAGGCCAAAAGCAAAAAAACCGCGGTGGTTGCTGAAGCACTGGAACTTCATGAAGAACCAGAAGGCATTTTAACATGTTGAAGTTGAGTCCCAATACTTGCACCAGTGAACCTGCAAAGGTGAAGCCGGACGCCCTGAAGCAACATCAGACTGGCAGGAAATACTTTGCCAACCAACGAGCCCAGCACGTTCGAAGCTTACTTCACACATCTTCACACATGATTCAATGTGACTCTTCTTATTACAGTACCTATTCAGACCAAGGCGTTGGACATCTTCAAGACCACCGGCTTCACTGGGACCTGAATTTGAGCCAACAGATTGACCGCATGAGCCCAATGCCCAAGTTTTCTCCATGCGTTACACCTCAAGCAGATTTGTTCAACATGGAAGCTTCTCGACCTTTCACAGGCCAGTTTGTTCCTCAAGTACTCTTCAGGTCTGACTGTGTACTGTTCTGGAGGCATCGACAAACTGATGTTCCAGAGCTTTCCCGTGGACAAGCTGTCCCTGACCCACTTGTCGGAGAAGGCACTTGACCCACTTGACCCAGTTGAGAGATCTCAGAAGTGTAAGTGGCAGGAACTCCACGGCTTGTCAGGAAATGCCACTGGTCACAAAATGACTGAGCTTGCAGACTCAGATTGCCTCACTTGTTTTTCATCCTGAGGCTATGAACGTGAAGTGCGTTGCCTCAGCTTTTTTGGCAGGGTTCGCAGCAGTAGATATCCTGCGGTTCAATGAGTTTGCACATGAGAAACTGGTCGCAGCTACACGCTGTGGCAAGTGAGATTTTGAGAGATCAGCGTGGGAAATGCTTCTACAGTCTTGCGAGGGCATTTCGCGAACACAGATTGATGTGAGCAGTTGTCATTGTCTGTGTCATGCATGTGTCTGGCCAGGTCAGGTTGCTGTGCAGTGGCTCACCATAGCAGCCGGTAGGTAAACACTGTTCAACATGTTCAGAAACAAACAATCGAACAAACACACACACACAGCAACATTGTTGTGTCAAAAGGTCTGAGTGATGCTTGTTTGCTTCATTTGTTTGTAGTTTGCTGGCATGCTAAAGCGTTTTGAAGCCACTTCGTCGTCGAGCTCATCCACATCCGGTTCATCATCCGGATCAGAAACGGATGACCAAGAGTCTGCAGCAGCTCTAAGGGTGGGAAAGGTTGAGTTGGTCTTGAATCAATTGCATGCATTTGCAGAGGACAGTACTGAGCAGGAACTGTCCAAGTTTGCTGAGAATGGAAAAAGCAAAGAAAGAATCAAACAAGCCATGAACAATGTATGCAAGTGTGACGCTAAGTGTGGGAAAAGGATCAGCTTCGCCCATGTTGTAGCTGCAGCTACTCTTTTCTGGTCACTTCCCAAATCAGGGCAGGACTGTGTTCTTTGGTCCATGCAGTCGCGTCATGTGAAAGGGCTGTGGGAAGAGGAACCTGAGGAGGAATCCAGTGCCTCGGGATCAGATTCAGATCATTCCACCTCCAGCTACTCGAGCCGTTCTCGATCACCAAGACGACGGACCATGAACAAGTGGTACATCGAAGGTTCGGAACAGTCAGCTTGATTTTTGAAACAGATTCCATCTGAAACTCTCCAGGTGTCCATATTTGCCGAGAAGCCTTCATGAGATTAATGGGTATTGGGTCCAACCGGCTTGTTAGAACAAGGGAAGTTTTCCGAGGGCAGGATATGCGCAAGTTTGGAACTTCAGACGCAGTTTTGTGCTGTGGTTTCATTGTAACCTTGTGGCATGGAATTGGTGCTTCTGATTCGTCTACATCGTCTACCAGCCTAGGAGCAGTTGGAAGACGCTCTGCTGAAGCAACTGCTTCTGTGACCAGTTTTCTCGAGCGGTTGTACTATAGCACCGGTGAAACCTTGCCAACAGAGTGGGCATCTCAGTCCAGATTGAATTTCTCCTAACTTCTTTGAGATGGCTAAGGCTGGATGTGCGGATGGATGGGCAAGCTCTTACAATTGACACAAAACAATCACAGAAAGACTTGCTTACAGCTTTGCTTGACTCCTCGCTTGAGTCAGATCTAGCTCGCGGCGTTGCTCGGAGTGGACCTGAAGGGTTAGCTCGGCGGTACTTACCACCTGGAACTCCGACAGATATATTTCATTTGCATCAGTCACATCAAATCGCATGCCAAGCAAAGGCGGCCAGCAGCTCAACATTTTTCAGAACGTTTCATGAATCTGGTTGGGCCCATGTCCTGAGATTCAGGGCGAAGTCACAGCATTCCATGTGCACAACGTGCCACAAGCTAAAAGCAAGAATCCGGGCTGCTCGAGGGATCCAAGAACATGCCTCTGCCAGCGACCAGCTCTACAGACACCTTTCCGGTCAATTCGCTGACCGTAAGGTCTACTGGGAGTTGAAGTCAAGGTCCAGACACGAAAGGGACCTATTGACCATAATCTGCGATGGAATGGACAAATCAAAATTTAGCCTGCCAAGGTATTACCAGGGGCGTGTTCCAAAAGCGCTGGAGACTGTGGTTCGCCCATCGTGCGAGTTGTATACAGTGATGATACACGGACATGCTGTGTGTACATTTGTGACAGACTCTGACCAGACTGCTGGAGCAAGCTGGGTGATGGAAACTCTCAGTAGAACCCCAAGGACTGGATGCACTTAGTGTTTGTCACAATGCTTGCTGTGTCAAATGATCTGACCATCAGGAAGTGAAAAACGGATTGTTTGGGAGCTACCTCTCTTGTTTGATCAGTGGCGGATGGTTCCGCCATGGATCACAAGAGCACTTAACAGTTGGACACACCCATGAAGACATAGGCTGGAAACTGCAATTGTCTAGTCTAATGAACAGTGCCAACTTTGTTCAGCTTGCTCAGATGCATTCTTCGGCCTTTTGTGCAAGTTCATTCGGGAGGGTGATGACACCATGCCGTTTGCTTAGAACAGATGTTTGCTTCCAGCAATTTTGATCAACAAAACATGAGTGGGACACTGAGGCAGGAGCCACAAGACATCGTCCAGCCAGAAACTCATTTGAGCTATCAACTCTCACAAACAAACTTGCCCGGTCCTTTAAGGATGTTGAGACAAAGAGTTTCGCCGCTGTTCACATCTCGGGGGATTCTTTTCCATGTGGAATACATCAACAATTACAGGAACTGGGCAGATTGCTTGCCCAAGTATGCGACAATGTTTGGTTCTTACCGCCGGCGTTCAATGACCGACGAGAAGATTGCACCACACTCTTACACATTTGTAAGACGCGAATGCAACTTGTCAAACCTTGGATGTGAAGCCTTAAGCCTTGAGTTTGGGAAATGGAATGCAAGTTCAGGTATGCCACGCCGTCTACTTGAACAAGCCGATGAGCGTCTCAGAGCACCATTCACAGCTTCACCAAAAGATGTTTTTTGCCTCGTGAAGGCATTTGTCAGTGACTCTGATATTTGCCAGCCTCCTCTACTTGTCTTCCCTGGCTGCAAGCAAGAGCACTTGAATGATGCCATGAAGAAAATTGGAAAGGGCAACGTGCCATGTCCAGGCCTCAAGTAATCAACCCTGCCACTTCCCCACTGCTTCACTTCTAAGGCTCAGCAACGTATCTGTCAGATGACCGCAAAGCGGAACTGAAACTTCTGGCCCAGCATTTGTCCTCGGCATATTCAAACATGAGCCGGGGATCAAAATATTTGTTACAGCTTGCAGGGGAGTTGGCTGTCACACGTAAGCCTTTGCCACAGCTACAATTCATTTTGAATGGAGCCTCGCCCGACATATTTCGTGGGGCACCGGCACTAGCGGAACCAGAACCTCATGTCACCCATCAGTTGCGGGTGCAATTTCATCGGCATTTCTAGGAAAATAACATCTCAGAGTCAGAGTTCTTTGAAGCTGCGTGCACAACTGTGTTAGGCGACTCTGGAGCAGTTGTTTTTTCCTTCCGTTCATGATTTAGTGCCTGCAAGCCAGCTTTTTACAGTAGTTCTTGAAAGAGTGAGAGGAGCTACAAACTGGGCTAAGGCCAGGCCATTCATCGGTTTGGCATTGGTCTGTCAGCCATTGTTTGCTTCAGGCGCATGGAGAACAGAGCTGCACCAGTGGAGCCACCTCCAGATGTCAAGGTCCACAAGTCGTGTTGTTTTACCTGCTGAGAAGTAAAAGCACCAACTGACAGGAGGAGAAGGGAGTTTCTTTAGTGAAACCTCCGGGGGAGACAAAGCTGTTCGACAAACTGATGACTGCAGTGGAGGAGGCTTTGCGAACATGTGTTGTCCGGTGAGTCATTGAGTGATTCATCAATGTGCCTGTGCCAGATCACTAGTTCCCAAAACTTGGGACAATGGCTGTGGTCAACCTATGGCGGTCAGGAGGATAAGTTTTGTGAGGTGCATTCCTTTGCACTTGTTGCTCATGAGTGTGTAGTCAGATGCACAACATTGTCATTAATTGTCTAGTCTTCGTGTTGAGTCTGGAGGTGATGTCAAAGTACCTCTCCACACCGGGGGTAGCGGACAAGATTCCCAGCATCAATGGACCAGTTCTCAAAGCTGTCCCGCCCAATTCACGAAAAGGTTTCTACCTCCAACCGTGGCATCTCAATTTCAGTGAGAATGCGAAGTGTGGCAAGTTTCCAAGCAATGTGGCCATGCGGTTGCACTTGCCATCATTTCTGAACCGTGGGTTTGAAGGTGATCGGGAGCCTTTGGAAGTACGCTTTGATCAACCTGATCTGGAACTGTTTTCAGTGATGTATGTGGACGGCCACACAAAGGGTGTTTGCATCCAGGCTATCTTCGGACTTTTGGCCCATTGTGTTCAGGCCTTAGGTACCCTTGCTATCATCAGACCTCAGGCACCAATAGTCTTGCGTTTAGCAACTCTGCCCCAAGGCTGTGGAGCCTCATGAGGTGGAAGAGGATCCTCAGTTCTGTGCAGTGGTGGCGTCCTTTAAATATCTGCGAGCGAACTTTTCACATCAGTCTTCGGAAGAGTGTTTCTTCTATGAAGCGTTGAGAAGCTCGGCCGAGCTCGGCGCTTGCTTGTCCATATTGTTGTGATAGTAGGTTCGAGGACAATAAAACCTTGTTGAAGGATCTTGGTAGATTGCGCTCAGGCCTTGCCAACCGCACAGCAGAGAAGCAGAAACCAGGGCCATTAGATCTCGTTCTTCTATTCCGTGAGATTGCCAGGATTAAGAAGGTTGCCCAGCCTCATGCCAGCTTGCGTGACTTGCTGACTAAGTCGGTGCAAGAGTACAATAAAGCTGCACCACCAAGTCCTGGAAGATCAAAGAGGAGATCCGCAAGTTGATCTACAACTTGATCAGGTGCCCAGTTGGCTTCCTTGACGTTTTGAAGATGGTTGGCGATCGATGCAAATGGGAGCATTCCGCATTAACCATGGACAACTTGGAGGGCGACTTCTATGTTCCAGGCCATGTCATCGGAGGTTCCCAGCCACAACCATGGGCAGCAATCAAGGACAGATTGAACCTGAATGGTATTGGTCATTGGTGTTGGTAATTTTGGGTATGGCAGTTGTTATAATCATAGTGAGTCTGTGACTGCCACTGAACCCTGCAAGACTGTTCGCGAAGAGACCGTTCTGATGTGGGCTGCGCGTGCTGCTGATGAGCATGAAAGGAAGGCCCCAAGGGATAGCCCTGTGAAGCAGAAGGTGCTGTGTGCAAAAAAATCCATTGGAGTTTCCATATGATGAAATGATATATGACTAGGACTAGGATATATGATATATCACTGGGTCCAATAAAATGAGTTCTGGTCTTTGTACTGTTTGCTGAAAGGCACACACATTTTGAGACTTCTTAAAGCTGCTAGAGAAACATATAAAAGCCAAATACTGCAATAATAAGTTATGTTTCAACTTAGTGTCTAATCGACGAATCCAGAAGCTTGCACAACGTGACGCCCCCGGCATGTGCGACCTGCTGGAGATCTGTTGCCTTTGGCACCATATTCTTTCAGACTTGCGCACCTATCTTGGCCCTGGGGAAACTCTAGACAAAATTGAGAACATGTGGAAGCAGGGGTGATGTGGCTGCATTCAAAAAATTATGTTCATACAAAAGATATATATATTATAACAACAATATTATTGTATATATATATATCATAACTATTTTTCAATAAACTATAAACATGTAACATGTATAACAACAAAAAAACTTCTTAATACATATATATATATATCAAACATGTTGTTCAAAAAATATATACATAAATAGTTGATTAAATGTTAAAACATAAAAACAAAATATGTTTAAAATTTCAGATTTATGATCTTCAAATCACAACCATGTAAAATCTGAGGTTTTTGACAAAGATCAATTTGTACAGTGGTTTTTAAAAACCGAGACGTAAATCATTGGTTTTTTTGGGGGGGGAAGATTTTTGGCAATCCAAAAAATCTTTCAAAAAATCATTCCCCCCCTCAAAAACATAGGATTTGTACATGGGTTTTTAAAAACCGAGACGTTTTTTGGACATGTTGAAAACATCAAAAAAATACATGGTTTTTATATCAGTCTCCGAAATTCAATCACCAAAAAAAACGATACATTCAAAATGGAATGGAAAAAAAACCGAGACGTTGAATGGACCATTTTTCAAGGATTTGAGGCCGGTCAAAAAAAAAACGAGACATTGAATGGACCATATTTCAAGGATTTGAGGCCGGTCAAAAAAAAACGAGACATTGAATGGACCATTTTTCAAGGATTTGAAGCCGATCAGAAAAAACGAGACATTGAATGGGATATTTTTCTGGGTGTTGAAGCCGTCAGGAAGATAATGAGACATTCTGAAGGGCATGAGAAACACACTGACAAGACATTGAATGATTGACTATCCAGGAATAGGAAAACACACTTTCCTTGGAATACACACTACCTTGAAATATACTCCTTGATTCTGGATTGGGCGACCGTGGAAAAGAACAAGTTCCTATATAATGTTCTGTTCTATCATTGAATCTTCTGTTGTGTCATGAAAACCATATGTTGGATGTTTCAACAACACTGACCTTAGAACGATCCACATGGTTTGAATGTTTGTTTCTCTCCCTGAAGCTTTTATACTGCGAACTCATTCATTGACACAAAGATGAGTAGTTGGGCAAGCTGGGTGTAAATCACCGATACAATTATATTCTATTTTGCTGCTAAGAGCAGCAGCTGGCATCAGGTTGCTTGATGCAGAGCTGAAGATGCACTGCAAGTCTGCCAGCTCAGAGTTCGACTACAAGAAGTTGAGCTTCATCCTGGAAGCTCGAGGAGTTTTGCAAGAGCAGCAGATCGAGCGAGCACAAAGTCGCATCCAGCCAGCGTTCAGGCAGTCCATCACTGCTGGATTCAATTTGAGTTTGGAAGCTGACCAGGTGGCCCACAGACGTCACCTTGTTGCTGCTTCTGGTGACACTCAGCGGGCCAGGGCAGCACTTGGGGCAGCTAGAGGACAGGGATTGAGCGCGTTGAAGTCGGTTGAAGTGCACTGGACAATACTGAACACTCTCATAGGCTCAGTGTAGTTGGGCATCTATCTTTCTTGGATTTATGTTATCTTCCAAAACCCGTCAGAAAATGCATGAGACAGCTTGGCGGCTGGTGAACGCAGAGATCAGTGACGTGTGCCCTACTTGGAACAATGCTCCACACAAAGGTGGGGTATCCTTTAGCTGGTTTGTCAAACAGATGGCTGTAAACAGATGGCTGTATAATAATTTATGTTCAATAATTGTAATTTTAGAAAGATATGATTGAGGTATTGGCGTGTTTCATGTAGATGAATCGCATTGTCCCATCTATGGAATGCAGAAGTCAGGCGCTGGCATCGAAGCAGAGGCTGATGCCGACAGCAGCGGCGCTCTCTCAGCCAAACTCGAACCATGGCTTCAGTCGACTCTTGGTGGTCTGAACCAAGGCATCAGGCGGTCTGATAACGAATCCATCATCGGATACGTTAACTATGTGGCGGCTGGAGTGGTGTCCTCGTTCAAGCAGCACTTCGCTTTACAGCAAGTGACAGGGCTGTGCCACAGCAATCCGCGCACCTTCCTTGCAGTACTGGTCTTGCCCAACAGAGCTGGAGATCTCCGATCAACAGCAAAGCCTCTCCACAGCGGTTAGCACCACCCCAGTTTTCAAGTTGTTGTGAGCTCTTAGTGGGTCTGGACTTGGGCAAAATAATGGAAATGTAATGGAATACCAGCCAGAACTTGCCAAGGTCCGAGAAAGCAGAACACGACGATTCCGAAGATGAGGAACAGGCCAAGACCGAGGGTGATGAGGGACGTTGCTTGGCCGTGCCCGGAACTTTTGCTGTTGTTTGAGGTTCAGGTGGGTTTGGAGCTTCTAGAAACTTAATTCCAGGTGAATTTCTTTCGTTGTGTTCACCGAACAAAGGTGAAGACGAGGAAGGCGCTACACCAGGTTCTGACAGCATCTTGCGTGACTTCCAACATAAACTGGCCTGCAGCTTCATGGAGCGAGACAGAAATTTGAAGGCACCTTGTAGACACTGCCCTTTATAGAAAGTGTTTTGCTTACAGCGTCCATGTTTTTGTTTTTCAGATTTTCAGTTTTTGATACGATGTTGTGCAAATGTTGCCGAAGTTGGCAACTGTGTGCTTTGAGCCCAGCTCAGTCTATGGAGCACGATGCGGGTTCCAACAGGTGCTCCTCGTCACGTCCAATGACAAGTCTAACGTCTTCCACCGTACAGCATTTTGGAGGTCTGGAGTCATTACTGGGGTGACCATGCTGTCCAGGTCCGAGATGATCAAGCTACCGAAAGGGGATGCCAAGTATGGCGGCGATGGTCGATTCACCCAGGTGCAAGAGCTAAAGCAAGAGACATGGCTGAGCCATGAAGAATGTTTCAATTTGTTTTTTGTTGTGATGTTGTGAGCAGCTCCACTATGTTTCATTACTGCCAGTGTTTAGAACATGCTTTAGATTTACTTTTTGTGCTGTGTCCGGCAACTCAGCACGCTGGTGGGACATCCTTCATTGGGAGCGTTGTGGATGCCTTGCTTCCCTCACCCGATTGCCCCATGGTTTTGCTCGACCTGTTTGCATTCGATGCCTGGCCAGCTAGCCATGTGCTCGCTCAATATGCACTAGGACAGGCGGGTAATAGTCCTTTGTCGCTCATGGGCTTGCCAGGGTCCTTTCTTTCTGTGTTGTTCTGCAACATGTCAATCTTTCTGTCAAATAAAGATCAATACAAATTGCATAATACAAAGAAAGCAAGGTTTTGTTTTGAATAGTGTTGATGGCCTTGTTAGAGTTGAACAGCTTCCACTAGCTTTCAGGCTCTTGGGACAGCCTAGTGCTGATAGCCTCCGACTCATGAGGTTTGTCTTTGCTTGCTATGTAAACCCTATGACACATCCAGAAGGGGAATCATGTGTGCGTCGCGTGAGTTCAATACGAAGTACGGATCAACAAATAGGCTTAGAACTATCAAGAAAACAAAGAACTTGTGATGTCTTATTTATATATATATTGTATATGTGTGTTCTTTGTATTATGTTAAGCAAAGCCAGTTGATGACTAACTTGACAGTTGATGTTGGAACAAGAAGCTGTCAACATTAAGACTTAATGAGAAGCAGCCCAAGGAAAACAAGGCTAAGTGCTACCAAGCAGAGTTTGGTGGGGATTTGTATACATGTATTTATATATGTATATATAATATATTGTATCCAGGAGTTGTATGTCTTGAGGTTCCTTTTGACAAACAAAACGCCGACCAACCCTTATCAACGGAAGAGAGTCCTTTGCAAGGAATAGTATATATTATATAGAAAGACCAAAATAGAGACTCTGCAAGGAGTGTATGTGTTCATGGCTAGTCATGGTAGCAAAGGATTTGGACCGCGTAGCAAATCACAGGGAGGAGGCGGAGGGAATGATTTTGTTTGCACCGTTGAAGGCAAGAAATGGGCAGTGGCCTCTGTGGCCCACTCTGGCTGCGAGACTCTCTTCTGTGCCAACCTGGTCGCGCATCGGATGTATGGCCTTGCAAGGTCTGGGGACCTCAAGATCGCCGGCTTCCCGAGGTTTGAAGAGGCAATCTCGGGGTTGAAGGGAATGCAATCCATGCAGGCTCCAAGCTATGAAGTTTGTGTGACACTTTCGGACGGCACGTTGATCATCAAGCAACTAGTCCTAGACATGTGGACACAGAAGCATCCTGATTTCAGTGCAGAGTGCACTGAACTCCTTACAGCGCACAACAGTGAGTTTAACCCCAAGAACATTCAGAGCGGAGGTGAAGTACAAGAGGGTACCACTACCGTTGAGCTACCAAGCAAGCAGCTTTGTGTACAAGGGACCAAGTCCAAGTCAGACTTTGAGAAGGAGCATGCTGACAGGTTCAAGTGTCGTCCAAAAATGCCCAAAAGACCTTCCAGGAAAAGCAATTGATTTTCCAAATACCTTACACCTCACCTCTCCTCAAATACTCTATATACACAAGCGACTTCATAGAAGTAAACTTAATGCTTCTCCTTCAACCACGGACCCATGGAGGCTGTCTTTGTCGTGTGGTGGAATGCAGCTTCACTGGTGCAAAGAAGCTGGATGCCTTTTCGTCACGTGTGAAAAGGATACGCATGCTTCAGCATGGTTGGAGATGTTCTCTTTCGGATCGGGTGATTTCTTGCGTGGCACCGAAGCTCATGACGTTATGTCTGATGGAACTTCGTCAGGCCGTTGGATCCCCTACAACATGTCTGGGCCAGCGTCTCAAACTATGTGTTTGTTGGAGGAGGATCGCAAGCTACCGGATCACTTCAAGTCCATTGATGTGTTCAATACCGCTACTCAGACTCCACAGAACCAGGTTCATCTGTTTGATTTTAAGATAATATTATTGTATAGGCTCCATTGAGACAAGAATCTGAAAGTGATCATTAAACCATCCCACCAAGGGTTTTTGAACAGCTTCCTTCAGCTGTAGGTGATGACACTCCAGCAATTACTACAAGCGTTTGAGAACCAGGGCACAGTCAACATCACTTTGCTGGAGCACACCATCAAGAAAGATGATGCCAATGCTGTTTCCATCGACTGTAATGCCAAGATTTGCTTTGCTTTGGACCCACCAAAGGACAGGAAGAGACAGAAGGCCTGACCTTGTGAGTGGGAAACCACTCGACACTCGATCTGCCATTGCCAGGCGAGCACCGGCAATGCCCTTACCTTTGGATCCAAGATGGACTTGGCAAAACTTCGGACGGCCAAGAACTTGGTCGTGGCATGGCGCTTGAAGCTTTTCGGCTGCGCAAGCAGTATCCGACTAGCCCATGTTTTTTCATTGCCTTGGCACTGAGGCTGCATTTGGAAGCAGGTAAGCCTGAGACCTTAGTTCCTGTGAGGCCCACTTGCCTACTGGCAGGTGAGATGGAGCTAACCGCTGACAAAGCGGTCCAGCTCCTGTGAGCTCCTTTGGTTTTGTTGGGGTTGGGAGGAGGGGCACACCAGGCTCTGGCACTGCGTTGCATTTCCAACATTGCTGCAATTGATGTTTGATGCCCTGGTTGTGTTTCGGATCCTCTCAGCAAGCTGCTATAGCTCAATTTCCTCTGGGGCAAAATTACACATGAGCAAACGAGCAGCTTGAGAAAATAGTATCCACTTTTTGCAGGCATTTTCAATCCACTGTGTTTGAGCTGTTGCAGGCACACAGAGGTTGAGTACGTGAATGAGCAAACTCCCCTTGCTTTTTGTGCAGGATTTTGCTTGCTCAAAGGCTTGGACTGCCGACTCGAAGGTGAGGAAGTCATGTCGTCATCCTCTGAGTCTGCTCCTCCTGCGGTGGGAGCTGCAGGAAATGTCATGGTGTCCAAAACCTTCTCCATGAGTGACTACTCGACATTGCTGGAACCATCACCAAAGCCATCAGCTGCACAAGCTGGACCATCTTCTGCTGGTCAGGGTCTTGGGGGTATTGATGGTTTGCCATTTCTAGACTTTTTGGGCTCTTGCATCTAAAGCTTCATTCAGGTTCAAATCTGCTGAAGCGTTGCGCCGTCGAAGACTCAGAGAGCCCATCAGATAAACAATCCAAGAAACAGAAGAAGAAAGACACGAAGAAGGGTACTGCCCAGACTTAGATCCACTGGGTGGTAGTGACAATGATGATGACCCAGACGAGAATGCACCAGAAAAGAAAAAGAAGAAAAACAAACGAGAAAAGCAACCTTCAGCACCCAAGAAGGCCAAATCGTCAAAAGAAAAGAAACCAACTGGCAGCAGCAAACGCAAAGGCAAAAAACATGCGGATGCAAATGGCTCTGGATCCAATGATGGAGATGCTGACACATGTCAGGAACCAGTGTCTGAATCAGTTCAGGCTGCTCTGAGGGCTGCCGATGAAGCAGAGAGGGATGCTATTGCCAGACGCACAGTGCAAGTTGATGAGAGCGATGAAGAGATTTTTGCGCCGCCAGCAAAAACCATGCACGAGAAGGAACATGAGGACACGAAACAAAACTATTGATGCTTTACTAGACTCGACCTAGACGTTTCACCTTTCACTCACTAAACTTTGCCAGTGACGGCTTGATGCTCAGTGTGCCAGGAATCGGAAATCCATGAGTATGTGCTTACTTGTATTGGCTATGTGTCCGAGCTCGATGAGACTGATGCGGTTGGTAGGTTGTTTTGGGATCCCAAGCGACACATTTGGGATGTGTCCATGCCAGCGGGGATGGAACATTTGCCAACGAAGGACCCTTCCAGCATCTAAATAGTGACAGGGGAGCTTGAGTATCTTTGTGTAGGAACTCGATGATCAGATTGCAGAAGAGGAAGCACTTGGCAGAAGGCGCCTCCGTCGCCCAACTCTTGTAATGTTGCTCCTGGTTTGTTGACAGCTAGTCATGGCTTAGTCTATCAGGCTACTTCGTGACCGTCCTGCAAGATCAATCTTCTGTGAATCACAAGTTATCTTGGAGGCTTGGTTTTCCCTTTGAAGGCCTCTGAAATTTGGGAGGGGCTTGAACCTGGTGCAGGCCAACGCTGCAACCGATGCAGTGCCAATGGACCACAGCGGTTCAAATCAACAGGACGAAGGCACAATGATGCCAACTGAGATGCACCAGGCGCGCATCCTTTGTGTCAAGTAATTTGATGTAATTTGGAGTTTCAGCAGTAGTCAATGAACGACACATCCCATGTTGATCAAACGGTGCAACATCCCAGCGTGTGAAACAGGAAGATGACCAACATATCCTCAGCCAAGAGACGATGGTGCCCTTGGCAATGTTGTTGTCATTGGGTCACTCCTTAATGACAGTTGTTGAAGGCTGCCTCTCTGTCTGTAGCTGTTTCGGCTTGCACAAGTCTGAGCCTGGCATTCTGGTGTACCCTGTGAAAATGCCTTGGGTATGGCTGGAAGATAGCTGGCTGGCAGAGAAGACAGAGAATAGTGTTGTTGGTTATGGGCAATTGACTAATTTTGCACTCAGCGCTTCCCGGGAAGCAGGGTCACGGCCCACCGTGGTCACCGAGAATGCAAAGACTCGACACGACGAGCGTTACTATACTGCTGATGGCAAACCGATCGGACAGCTTGTGATTCATCCCCACACTGCCAGTGACCACAATGAAGAGAGCTCAGATTTTGAAATGGATGACGTGAGCGAGGAAAGTCTGTCTACCTTTAATGAGCTGCCAAGGGAGCCATCCACAGACCTTGATGGCTTTGCTGAGTTGGGTGAACCAATTCTTGTGGTGCCTGAGTCAGATGAAAAAAAGACAACAAAAATGATCCTGCAGTGAATGAGAAACCAAACGAATCCTCCAAGTGCGACCACCAGTCCCAGCCCAAGGCTCAAATCGTCGAGGATGGCAATTCAGGAAGCAAGCAGTTTGGATTCATGGCTTTGGGCTCTGCTGTGAAGCTTCTGAAGCGCAAGTGGGGCGGAGGTTGTGATTAGTAGACGCGTGCCAGTAGACCTGCAATTTAGCTTCCAACTCCAACCTTGGTCATAAAATGAGTATGGCTGTTGGCACTCTTCAGTCAAAGGCACGCATGCCTCTAGGCAGTTCTCACAAGTTTTGTTTGAGAAGTAAAAACTACTAGGTACTATGCGATCGCTGTTTGCCAGGTGCTTGGTGCGTGGGACGGTGTTCACCTCTCAGAAATTTACTGCCTTCAGTGAAATGACAGCAGTCTCAAGTTTGGCTACTGAGGATAGTCGGGAGACACAGCATCCTTTTGAAGCCGTTGGGGAGAAGGTCACCAAGAATGTTTTTTTTGTCACCAGAAAATAAACTAAAGAAGTTTCTTAATGCGATTTGATAGTGAGAGATGTTTTTGCCAATTGATATCTGCCCGCTTCTCTCCCATATGTTTCCCCCTTTCAGGATGTGACAGATGGTTTGGTGGTGGGAATCGTGAGCCTGGTCCGGCTTTCGTTGTCCCAACAGCCAAGTGTGCTGCAAAAGCCAAGGCCAATGCAAAAGGGAAGCCAAAGGCAAATCCCAAAGTGAAAGCAGCTGTGAAATCATCTCCTCATCCTAAGGGGAAGGCACAGGCAAAGCCTAAGTCAAAGCGTGCCAACACTGAGCGGACCAAAACTTACAATAGGATCTACTCCAAGGTGTACCGTCAGGTGAGATCTGCGGGGGAAGCCTGGAGGAAGCCCAAAGGGTGGGTCGTGATGCTGCGACTCAGCACTTTTCTCAGGGAGGAGCTTGATTGTCAACTCTTGATGGAATTTTGAAGGATTGAAGCTTTGCAATCCAGGGGGATGGAAAAGGTGTGGGAAGCTGTGGCAAGGGAAGGGTAGTGTGGAATAGAATGGTGTGGACGGGGGAACAAAACGAGATGCTCTTGAGGTTTGTGGTAGTAGCAGCAATGGATGATGCTAAGGACATATGACAGATGAAACATGTATGGACATGTTAAGGGGATTTAAGAGTGGGTAGGCATAAAGCTAGTTGACAGGGAAAGGGAAGTACCAGTTCCTTTTTGGACAAGTGCTGGATGTCCTAGGGTTGACTTGTAAATAGATAGGTATAGACAGATAGATGGATAGGCCAAAAAGCCAAAAGCCACAAAAACCAAAAGCCACAGAAGCCACGAAAGCCACGAAAGCCAAAAACCACAAAAGCCAGAAGCCACAGAAGCCAAAAGCCAGAAGCCACGAAAAACAAAAAAAACAAAAAATAAACAAAAAAAGAAAAATAAATACCCCTCCCAAAAAAAATAACATGCGACTGGCTGGAACAAGAATGTACGCAGCCTGCGCAGCCAGCTTACGACACCTCGCACAACCAGCTGACACCAGCACCCGACCAGCGCCGCCGCCCGTCTTAAACGCGCGCTCAGCCAGCTCACAGCATAAGCACCCAGGACCACAACACCAGCACCGACACCCTTTTGAAAGCGCGCGCAGCCAGCTCATACTTATTTGCAGCAACAACCCCATAGCTATCCCTACTTGGGGAATAACAACGTATGATCTTGCGCGTATATGTTTATGCGCACGAAAGTACACGCGCAAACAGCAAAGCCCGTAAGTGTCATTGGCCCAAGGCCAGGCAGTATCCAGCGCCACTATTGACTTTGTAGCATGCTTGAAGCAACGACCTGCAGAACGATAAGGTCGTATGATCTTGCGCGTCTAAGTTTATGCGCACAAAAGTATGCGCACAACCGGCAAAGCCCGTAGGCTTCACTCGCCCAAGGCCAAGCAGTATCCAGCACGACTATTGTGTGTGTAGCATGCTGAAACATGCTGGTGCAATGGTCGGTTGAGAGCCTTACGCATAGAACACTATACGTACAAAAGTATGCGCGCAAACAGTACAGCCCTTGACACAGCTGCCGGCCAAAACAGAACCTGAAGGGTGTAAATACCCCACAGCGCTAATAGACAAAGAACGCTCAAGCGACAACACCGTATGATGTTTCGTGCATAAGTTCATGCGGCCCATGACTGCTTGCACTTCATTGTCCTTAAGCGGCGCTTGGTCGCCCTTCACTGCTGCAAGCGGCGGTTTGTTACCCTTCACTGTCAGAAGCGGCGGTTGTTATCACTTCACTGTCAGAAGCGGGCACCAGCACCGAGCACCGGCGCGCCAGCTTACGGCGCCCAGCACCAGCACCCAGCACCGGCGCAGCACCAAGCACAGCACGCCCAGTCACCACCACGCACACTGCCAGCTTACAGCACCGGCACCGGCGCCCGCTGTCTCTACTATGCGCACTGCCAGCACCCAGCACCGGCACCGTGTCTCCACCACGCGCGCAGCCAGCTCACAGCACCCAGCACCAGCACCACAGCCCGCACCAGCACCCGGCAGCACCGGCACCAGCAA